TGAAAGCTGATAGAAGCTGGGGGTTAATTAATATAAGGTGAAGGATGGTAATTATTTTCCAAGCCGAGCCTCTTTATCAGCCTGATTTTGCTGAAGATGGTCTTACTCACACAGACGGGACTCAGACGAGACTCAATGAGGGCTTGCTTCAACCTTTTTCGGTGTTTCCGATCACCCACCTTGAGTTTTTTTTCCTTTCCAATGACGGGGAGTCCCTTCACGGCAGGGGAGTCAGCCAGACCTCTTCCCTTCCCCACTCACTCGTTTCAGAAGATTACTCGGCTCCACAGCACTAAATGCACAGCGGGGGGTGCGGCAAGGCAGCAAGGCTGAAGCACGAAGCAGGTAATAAAACAATAAAGCAATAAAAGCCCGGAGGGGTTAAAAAAAACTACTTAAAACTACTTGAGGCTTAGTCTAAAAACAATAAAACAATAAAAACCCAGAGGGGGGTTAAAATAACTACTTAAAACTACTTAAAACTTAATCTAAAGGCAGACGAAGGACTGGTAACTTTTCTAGGCTTATTTGCAAGGCTGGCTGGAAGTGTTATTAAAGGAAGACGGCAGAATCACTTTTCACATTATGAGCTGGCGTGTCCTCCCAACACAAGGAAGGAAGGAAGGAAGGAAGGAAGGAAGGAAGGAAGGAAGGAAGGGATCTTCTTGTAAATCAGGAATGCAGGATGGGAATGCCTGCCATGAGGTCAGCAAGTCGAGGCCGACATTGCAAGATCAGCTGAGCTGCATTTTCCCAACCTACTTATGCATATTTATCATTTCCATGCCCAGACCAAGGAATGGTAGCCACTAATGCAATTCTCCCCAGAAGAGAAAGGCTTGTATAGTAAAGACCACATTGCAGACAAACAATCAGCCAACAGGGAAGAATCCTCTCCCCTTGGACAGCAACCCCCCCTCAATACAGTAGCATTTACTCCCAAGTAAACATGTGTAGGCCCCTACCGCTAGCTCCGGGAGGATCTGCTGATGGCTGACTTTATCCTGCAGTTAGGCTGCAATCCCAAACATGCCTACTTGGGAGTAGGCATCCATGAAAAACCATGGGCTAGCTCCCAGAGACAAGTCTAAGATTGCATCCGCAGTCTCACACTCACAAATTAATACTAAGCAACTCAAGCAAGCTCCTTGCTCTGGGCTGGCTCTTCTTTTATCCTAGGAGTCCGTCCACTGGGCTGCCAAAGCTTAGTTGTGTCTCCTCCGACTGGCAGTGGCCTCCAGGGTCCTGGGCAGGGGACACCACTAGTCCCAAGAGCACATGCTGGGCACTTCTGCAAGCACAGCACCCATCGTCCCCCACGCAGCTATCAATCCCGAAGCAAGGCAGGGCTCAAAGTTTTCAGAAACACAGTCAGGAGTTCTGAAGGGGCCCACAAAAATATTATTGACGGCTGCCTACAAGCAAAGTCAACTGGAACTAGCAGTTATTCAGCATTCAGCACAGAAGCCAAAGGATAAAATGGCATTTTTTCCTGCTTCAGCTACTACCTCCCCAGAGGTCTTTTGCATGGCTTCGGACAGAGCCAATCTGCACAGAAGGAATGTCTGCAGGAAGCAGCACTTGCATCTCTCTCTACTGCAAAACTCCCCAAATGCCCAACATTTCAAACCAGCTTTTTTAAATACAGTGGTACCTTGGTTCCCAAACTTAATCAGTTCCAGAAGTCTCTTCCAAAACCAAAGCATTCTAAAACCAAGGCGTGCTTTCCCATAGAAAGTAATGCAAAATAGATTAATCCATTCCAGACTTTTAAAAGCCCCTAAAACAGCAATTTAACATGAATTTTACTATCTAACGAGACCATTGATCCATAAAATGAAAGCAATAATACTGTACTATAAAATAAATAAGACAATATTGTAGAGGATAAAAATTTATTCAAAAAAATTCTTACGTGCACTGATGATAATCATTGTTTGGATGGGGGGCTTTTATCCATTTCTGCAGTCACACAATCAATCAATCAGCAGCTGAACTGGATTCCACACAGTCACAAACGAAGTCACAAGCCACAGTCACAAGTCAGTCCCACAAAACAAAGAACAAGTCAGTCAAAACAAGCCACACAAACAAGAACGCAAAAAAAATGGCAAAAACAAAAGCTTCAAATATCACATCTACACTCAACAGGAAGCGAAACATGTTCAGCTTCCAAGGCAAAGTTCACAAACCGGAACACCTACTTCCGGGTTTGCAGCGTTCTATTTCCAAGTTGTTCATAAACTAAGCTGTTCTTAAACCAAGGTACCACTGTAGAGGAACATGGTTTGGTTAACAAAATCAACATTTCTCAAGGAGTTTAGTTTTCAATATAAGCTGCAACCATCGCTCTCTTTCTTTCCCCTATGAATTACTTAGCTTTCCTTTCTTTTCCTTTTGTACTTGTGCTTGACTGCTCTTCAACGATTTTTAAAATTATGTTGTCATTACTATCTGAAATCCTATTGCTTTGTGATATTATAAATGACATTTATAAACACGTTAAGAAAGTAGTGCCCAATAAGCCCTCATGTCTTAAACCATTTTTAGTGAACACAATAAAGGGGCAGAGACCCCATCTTCACGCTGCCAGCCAAGACCAAGTGTGGGAGGGGGAGAGAAGGCAAGGAGCAAAGCTCACCATCGCGTTTCACGACCAGAAAGAAATGAAGCACAAAAGCAGCATGGTCTCAGAGGTTTCCTAGAAAGCATCTCTAACCACAGCCAAAAAAGGAGGGAGGGGATGTCCAGGCCCAAGTGGCAGGTGAACTGAGAAGCATTACACAGCATGCTTTGCAGAGCTGCAATGCATACTGGGGACACAATTCTGGCTTCATGTGACATCAGCCAAGATGTGCCTCTGAAATCACGCACTGCAGAGTCTCCTGGGGCTTATGGGGTGTTAGGGGACAGGACGTGGTACCTCTGGTGGGACACATGTTGTGCTCCTTCTGGGTCCCGACCCTGCACTCAGCTCTCACCTGTGGCTCCTAGAAGGTGAGAGTGGTTGATGGGTCTCAAACCCCCGGGGCGTTAGGGGCTTCCCCTGCATACAAAGACAGGCTCTGGCAGATGGAGCAGACGAGACCAAGAGTGGGTCCAACAGTCAAGGAGGTGGTTTCTGCATGTGCTGTAGAGGGAAGCGAGGGGCAGATGGGAAGGCAGCCCATCTAGGAATAGGAAAACTCTGATACTAACCCTCTGCTGCCTTGCGAGATATCTTTGGAAGACGAAAAGACCCTACACAAATCCAGAGCAGAGTCCCCAAGATGGTGCCTTGTACGCCTCCTTCTGGCAGCCAAGCTGGTGCCCACTGTCATGCTCGGCTTTCCTTTCGTCCCCATCAGTGAGGCCGAGAAGGGAGTCTTGTCATCTGAGCAGCCCAGGACCTCCAGACACACCACACAGGCTTGCACCCCAAAGAGATCACTTTGGTACGGCCAACCCAGCGTTTGACTTCCCCCCAGACAAATGCCAACAATAACTGTCTCCTGCAACATCACCAAGGATGCTAGGAACACCTCAAAATTGCTAACACTGACAATATACCCAGCAAAGACACTATTTCCCATAAGCCACCTTGGGTTCAAGTGTTAAAGGCAGTGTGGCAATTTTGTAAAATGTATGCGCACACTGTTGGAAGAGTGCCACGTAAACCAGCGCCATCGGCGGTTACTGAGAGCAGTGCACATCAGGGTCTACATGCAACATATTAAGCTTACATTTTTTGTGGGCTGCAGAACGTGCAAGAGGCGTAGAGCCTGCCACGTCTGCTGCAACCCTCCTGCTCCCGCACCCCCAGAGACCACTCAGACCAAGGAACCAAATGAGAGCCTAGAAAATGATCCAACAGCCCCAATAGATGCCCGCCACTGGTCTACGCAGCTGAACTCTTACAAAAGAATAAAAGAGGTCTTGATGGGAAGAGCGAGTTAAGAAGCACTGTGCAATCAATGATACAGCATTCCATAAACAATTTCAAAAATAAGAATTCTTGCATGGTATGGTCAATATAAGACGAGCACGGGCATTCATATGGAAGCACTGCATTGACTAATGCAAGTCAGAGGGCAACGTTACAAGGTTCAATTTGCTACAGGAGAAAAGGCCTTGAAATAATCTAACCCAAGACAAGAGAATTCCAAGGTAGGTTTGTCATAGGAAACACTTTTGTGCTGCAGCCGTTTGACTATGTGCTCAGTATCAGAAAAACCCACGAGGAAGCAAGGTTGTTCCATACTGCATGATATGGGCATGTGATGGTGCAAGGCTTGTACACATTGCACAACCATAATGTGTCCATGACACAAGACCCCACCAAGGATCTGAGTTGCCAGCCACAAGGGGTGGGGTGGGGACAGAGAGAGCAACGAATGCCCGCCATCGCCCATACTTCCAATGAAACTTCCCAACACTTACACAGCTGCTCAGGCAGTCCTCTGTTCAGAGGTGCCAACGAACCAGCAGAGATACATCCCAGGATCTTTTTCAAAGCAGCAACCAGCTGGAACTTTTGGGCTTGCGCACAGCCAGCATCGCTTGCAACATTGCGCTGGAGCTCAGGGAGCACCAGCGCAGCCCTCTAGGAGCCCCCCACTGCCCTGGGCCAGCCCCGCAAACAAGCCCCCTTCCTGGAGGAGAGAAGGGACACGAAGAATTTCGTTTACCCTTGGCGAAGTCTCTCCAAAGAGAGGTCTGTTGTCCAGCCCTCTGGTCCCATATGTCCGGGTGGTAAAGTCCTCCATTGTTCCCCCAACTCTTCTCAAGCTTGGCTGTGATCGCTCACTCCCACATTGGCAGATCCTCTTAGAACAGACCCACTCCTTGTCTCAGAGGCCTGGAGCCCGGGGCAAAAAGCAGCCGCAGCATCAGGCGGAGGGAAGAGTTTATTTATGGAAAACGCATTTCTCTTGTTGCTCCGCAGGCTGCGTACAACTTGGGCGTTCAAAGCCAGGGAACCCAGCCTCCTCTCCTCCAAACCACGACTCCCTTCCTCATGATCAAGAGCTGGGAAGAAGAAGAGAAAGAAGACTCAGTAGGAACATGGCATACACGACCCACCCAACAACACGACCCACGGTTCCAAAGTTTTGGTTCTGCTCCTGGTCAGAACTAGCAAGGGGCTGCTCCAATTCAGGATTATATTGCACAGGTGACTCTTCTCAGTCTCCGCCCCACCCACCCCCTTCAAGCCCTCTCTTTGGCCTGTTTTATGCACACAGAAGAGGTGCAGGAAGGATGCAGCTCAGAGGCACAGCAGCTGCTCTGCATCCCAAAGGTTCCGGGTTCAATCTCTAACATCTCCAGGTAGGACTGGGAGAGAGTGGAACCCTGGCCAAGGGGCTGCCAGCCAGAGTAGACAATACTGAGCGTGACCAATGGCCTAACTCAGAGGCAGTAGAATGGGCTGTTGTTACCACTTCAGACTGCAGAAAGAGAGGGGGGTTACGGCTCCGAATGCTGCCTTGTGCCGAACTCTCCCTGCAAACAGAAAACCAGAGCATCCCATGCAGAAGGCAAGGCTGCAGAACCTTCCTTCCGGCTGGGAGCATTTCCCTTTCATTCTCACATGCAGCAGCAACCTCCCTGACGCTCAAGTGGCCCAGTCCAGCCTACTGTCTCAGCATCCTGTCACCTCATTGCACTGCAAGCGCAGCAGATACAAATTCTTCTTTGCCAGGTGTCACAGGCAAGAGCCACCTTTCCAGGTGAAGCGCATCTGCCTATGGAATGGGAAAGGGAGCCCTCAGACCCCAGGCAGGAGAGCGCAGCCGCAGTCCGCAAACAGACACGCTCCTGCTTCCCGCCCCTGGCAGGCTTCCTTGGAGGCAGGCCCAGAGCCATTACTCCCAAGGAGCTGTGCACGGGGCTGTGGCCAGAACTGGGAGGGAGGCCTAGCACCTGTCCTGGGGGGGGGGCAGATTGACTCCAGCTGCAGAGGCAGAGACTGCTGAGCAGACTCTTCCACTGGGGGGTTGTTTAGAAGGTTTTGTTGGTGGGTGGAGGCCGTTGCTGTTTAAATATTTTGAATATTTATTTTAGACCCTGCAATTTATACAGCTCAGTTTGGTTGTGTATTTTTTTAACATTTAATTTATTTATGGCTGCTTTAGTTACGTTGCAATTACACATTTTTTTTGGGTGCCATAAGCCACCTGGAGCACGGTTTGAACTGTGAAAAGATGGCATGCAAATCATTTTACATAAACATATTTGAGGAAATATGCACAATGACAGGAGAGCTGTAGGGGCAGTTTAACCTCGTGAACAGAAACCCCGGGATTGAGAACAAAAAACTGCAGCTGGTTCGACCGAAGAACCCAGCCAGAGGGATCCACCGGCGATGAGATGCGGGAGCCCCCACGCTAACCCACGAAGAGGCGACCGACTGCTCCTACACATCCTGCCACGGGGGGGGGGGGCGGCTTACGTCTCCTCCCCGTTTTAAACCAGGTTTTCTTACAGCCGGATTCCGGCGGCGGCCCAGATTCTAGAAGGACCTGTTCCATTTTAAACCAAAGCGCCACAAACTTTGGCTGTCCCTCGAGCACTTTCCATCAACTAGGAAGGCGAAGGTCCCTCCTCCTCCTCTTCCCTCCCCCTGGAAAGAAGCAGCCGCCGCCGCCGCCGCCGCCGCCGCCAGCCCAGGACTGAAGAGCCCGGCTCTGCCCGGGGATCGGCGGCGGCGGCGGCGGCCCGAGTTGCAGCAACACCCGCCCGCGCCGGCCAGGATTCTTCGGGGGAAAGAAGAGCGCCTTGCAGCTCCAGGAAGAAGACATTTGCAGCTCCCTCTCGGCTGCCGGGGGGGAGAACCACGTGCGACCCCCCCCCCCCGCCCAGCAAACGGCAACACCACGTTCCGCAGAGGAAGGCCGCCGCCGCCGCCGCCCCCGCCCGCCCCTACCTGGCGCGAGAAGAAGCCCCTGGCGGAAAGAGCGGCGGCGGCGGCGGCGAGTTCCCGCTCCCCCCTCGGCCGGAGAATCCTCCCTCTCGCCGAGTGTCGCAAACCAGCAGCGGGAGCAGCAGCCGCCCTTAAGGCGAGCCCGGCCTTCCTCTGTGAGCTCACGGGCTCGGCTCCTCCAATGGCGACGCGGGCCAGACCCGCCCCTTGCTGCAAATCGGGACGGGGAGCCCCGTCCGCCGCAGCGCGCGAGACTCGAACCCGCGGCCCGGAGATGCAGAGAGCGGAGAAGGAAAGCCGCCCGCGTCCCAGGAACCTGGCTTGCGGGGAACGAGGTGCCAGCTGGGCATCGCCTTCGCGTTGCTTGGGCAGAGTTTTAAAAGGAAACGAGAAGAAGGATTTTTCATCCTGGGAGACACATTCCGTTTGCTTGTTTGTTTGTTTGTTTGTTTGTTTGTTTGCCTGCCTGACTGTTGTACAGCCATCCGCATGCATACAAACTGCATCTCGTTTGGAGAAAATGGGCTCTACAGACACAATATATGCACCTGGGTTTACTCAGAAAGAAAAATGATCTAAAAGTAATAACTTTTTTAATGCAGTGCAGGAATCTCAGCACACGGTGCTCCCATCCAATTCGAAACCATACCAAACTCAGCTTAGCTTTGCAGACGTGCTAACAGTTTTATCCCTGATATTGTAAGAACGTGGCATACAAATACCTTTGTAAATTAATAAACATTTTAAGCATTTATAAAACACTTTTTAAAAAATCTGTTAACGATGTACAATATAAAACAACATAAAAGCAATGATGTAGTAGTATAAAAGTGTAAAGAAAAAGAGGAAGGATTCCAACACGTAAAATAGGGTCTGCCCTTAAGGACTAGGGAAAGCCTGAGTGAAAAAATGTTGACATTTGCTCAGCTTTTTCCAGAGTGAGATTCAATACCTGATATGCTCAGCATTGCATTGTTTTTTGAGCATGTACCCCCTTTCAAAACAGCATCACACATATAGAGAACCAGTGTTGCAAGTTTGCAAAATGAAAATGTTAACTCTCGCATCAAGGGTATAATTACTTTTTTATTATTTATTTGTTTGTTTGTTTGTTTGTTTTCTAGACACAGATATACATTTTTTAAAAAATGACAAAAATGGGGAGGTGGATATACTGCAGTACTTTTGAAGTGGTATAACCACAACAAAATGGAACTTATGATACAAGCAAAATGCTACATTCCAGCACTCATTCCAGGACTCATAATCTGGTGAACCGGGTTCACGTCTCCGCTCCTCCACATGCAGCTGCTGGGTGACCTTGGGCTAGTCACACTTCTCTGAAGTCTCTCAGCCCCACTCACCTCACAGAGTGTTTGTTGTGGGGGAGGAAGGGAAAGGAGAATGTTAGCCGCTTTGAGACTCCTTAGGGTAGTGATAAAGCGGGATATCAAATCCAAACTCTTCTTCTTCTACTCTATTTTAATAAATTGTTAGGGATATATAATTGACCTCAGCTAGCTTGAGCGCTTGGTATTTTCACTTACCAAATCATTGCAACAGGAGTAAACTGGACCCCTGGTAGCTTTGTGATTTAACCATAATTTTTTAAAAGGAAAAGAGGGAGGGAGGGAAGAGGAGACAACAGGAGACTTGACCACCTATAACTGCTGAGTGGTTTAGATTTTGCAAATAGGAGCAACCTTATTGGCTTGGAAAGCTGATGCCCCTTCTAGTGGGTGCCTTGGCACATCAAAGAGCCCATCTTGAAAAAGTTATTGGAAGCTGAGCGAGCCTGAATGGGACCTGACCTCTGAGTAATTCCAAAGTACAATTTGTGAGAAATTTCTCGTGTTGGTATCCACTTCCTTAACCTCTCAAGCATCATCATCTTCGCATGCTGAGAGCATTGTTCACTCAAGTGGTGTTTCTGAAGTCTGACGAACCCCTTAATTTCATATTGACCATCCAGTCATGAAACTGCTGGGCAAAGAACAGTGCACCTTGACTGGAAGTGAAATCAAACTGGTGAAAGGTTCCTGGCACACCCAAAGATGAAACACTGCGGTGTTTTCTGTGTTTAACCAGCACTTGATTCAAATCTCTGTGAGGATCTCTCCAGACTCATCATGCCCCAAGTGCTCTTAATCTGAAGGAGTTGGGGAGTAGCCCTGTTGCTTGGCCCCCAAGGAATCGTTTGTATGTTCTGAAAAGGCAGAAAGTTATCAAGTTACTAGATCATGATTTGTGCTTCAGAAGTACTTTGTATTTTATACATGAATTATATATGCAAAATTAAAAATACCCATTATTGCAGGCAATACAACAGCGTTTAGATGATTATCAACATATTTGAGTTTGGGGCATTTGCAATATTTTCCAAGGGTGGTCTATCAGCCCATGCATATCTGTATTCACTAAACATTAGAGAATTCCTGTTGCACGGATATGAGTACATAGTCATAATGGAACCAGAATATCCAGTGCTCTGATCTCTGATCTCTTGAGGCCTGAGGGCAAAATCAGGCAGACCTCTTTGAAGGACCAAATGATCCTCACATTAATCATTGTCCTCCCCACTGAGTTTGTGCCTGTTCCTGCTGTTTCTTGGTGGCTACTAGCACACAATCCCAGACCTCATGACTGTGCACATACACGCACAATGCAAAAATGAATCGTGATAAAGATGCCCATGGCACCAATGGAAGCAGCATGCTGTGATGGCCTGGGACTCGGACTCGGAACCAGAGGAGACTCAGTCTGCACCGGATCCTTTGCCTCAGGTGGCAGCTGAACCTAGTCTGGGGCCTGATCCTGCACAGGTTCCCAAGCAACAAGCACCAGCTGAGCCGAGTCAGGGGCCTGAACCTGCCCTGGCTCCAGATGTGGGGATGACCTCGTTGCCTTCAGCTGGGCTATCGCTTACAGCTGCTCCACTACCAGTTTGGTCAGGGGAGGCTGAGGCGGCCCCTGGGTCTAGTAACCTACTGCGGTCTCCCAAGCTGCAGAGACTGAGGTCTGAGAGAAGGAGAGACCTGAGAACTTGCAGGAAGAGTGCTCACCTTCAGGCGAAACAGGGAGGTGAGTTGCTGGGCGATGAGGACCGGCCGCTACCCTGACAAAGATAAAAGGCTGTGGGGCCCCGCCCCAAGTTGCAGGAGCACACATGCATACCAGAATTACGAAGGCCCCACAACAACTGATGATGTCATGGGACTGGCCCCATGGAGGGCAAGCCCAGAAGTCGGAATGGTCCACCCACTAATTTAGTGGGGGAAAGCACTGACTTGAGAGCTAAGAATGTAGTATTGCATCCCTATTTCTCCCTCTCAGCCTTCGGTTTTTGTTCTTCTGCAACACAGCTCAGTGTTCCCACTTGTCCTCTTAGGCCTCTTTGTGGCTCTTTACACTGGCTCCTTGTTCCATCTGGACCTGTATTTTTTATTGTTCTACAGTGCCTTATGCAAAAAAGAATATTGCTCAGAGGTGAACACAAGGTAGTCCTTATGTTACCTAATGCATCACTGATCAGTTGACTAGCAGCTTTAGATTCCTGGGATTCTTGCAAAGAATGGTGGATTCGGACAGCAACGTATCTCATATAGCAGTCCCAGTCAGCATGGCTGGTAGTCAGGATGATGAGTGCTGGAGTCCTACAATATCTGGAGGGTCACAGATTCCCCATCCCTGCTTAAGAGATCTTGATCATGCCCTCTTCCACTGAAAATATATTGCACATGCCATGGACCACTGGCTTTTCAGCACAGGAATAGGAATGAGACCAAAGTGAGCCCATCCCTGCTGTCTCCTTTCTTTCTTTAAAATGTCCTGATGCTTTTTGAGTGCCAGTGCAATTCCTTAGCATATTTTCCTTTTCTCAATTATTTCAGGGGACGTGAGACTTTGCTCTTCATTTCTCTTTGTGGTTGTTGTTTTTTTCATTTGTCACCTACCAACAAAGAGCAACAATAGGATGGCTATGATAATGGTGATGATGAGGATTGATAGCCAAAAATGTGCTTTTATTGCTGGCACTGAAAGCCAGGAAAATTAGCACGCCATGACCTTTTCAAGGCAGACACTGTGAGGATCTCAAAGTGCTCTGTCAATGATGAATAAACATGATTCAGAGCATTCAGCTCCTGAAATAACTCTCATGCAGTGATGGAATTTCCTAGGAGTTTGGCACGCCAGTGCATTAATAAGTGCAAAATGCATTATATTTCTATCTTAGCTACATACAGGTCAGTAAATGAAAGAGTAAGAGCTTGGGTTGAACGTACCAAATATATCCATTGAAAGGGAAGGTGGGTGAAAACGGCATTGGTCTGTGACTTCAGCAAACACTTCAGGAAACTTTTCATCATCTCATGTGATAATTCTGAATCAGAAGTGGGCCAATTCTTTGTGGTATCTGCTGAGCCCCAAGGACGTAAATTGGGCAAGCATTCCTAATGAATGAATGGACGTGTTTGTTTACATGTTGGCAATATGCTGTCACATGATAAGCAATATTCATAGGCAAAAATATAAGCCCCAAATATTAACCATTGAAAACTATAATTCACAAAGTAAACGCTCTCTGTTGGTTCTGCTCAAAGGTTATTGGGATCAGTCATATGATGCATAAAATCAGTTTGAATAGGATATAATACTCTGGAAGAGGAAATCTTCCAACCTGCCCATCACAATGTATTTATTTTATGACTTGCTGTATTTATACTGAGCCATGTGGTCTGATTGGCACATCCTCAACTCCATTATATTGGCAAACCCGCATGACTACTATGTTACCTAAACTCTACTAATGAGCAACTGAGGCAGGGATTACCTCAGTAGCAGTGTCTATCAGACTTGTTTGAAAGCTCACCCGTCTGGGGCTGATCTACAGATCTCATTCTTTTGTGAGGTCTCTGAAGGGGTTGTTGCTTCTGTTAGACAAGCCTGAAGCCTAACACAGAACTACAGTTCCCAGGATTCCATAGGGAGAAACCAGGACAGTTAAACCAGTTTTGAAATGTAAACACGCCTTCTTCTCAAACCCTTCCAAACATCACTGAGGTAATTGTAGCTCAGTGTCAGTGTCAATTGTCTCTTTTTTCTTTTTATCTGCTTCTTAAGTGGGCTAAAGGCCAAAAGGATAATCCAGGTCAGCGAAGCCCCTTTGGCAGTGGCAGTAAGCCCTGTAGTTCAAACTGAGGCAAAGTACTGGACTCTCCAGTTACTGACACCTTTGCATCTAACCTTCAATGCAAAGAATTCAGAATAACATTATAGTCTCTCTCTCTCTTTTAAGAAAACACTATGAAATAGCTTGGAGTAAAAGATTGTGATTTGGTTACAATCCTGCAGGGAGCTTCTTATACCTGGGGATGCTTCCAACCTGTTTATTGAGCATTTATCCTCATTTGTTTGCAGAAAGATTAAACAACATTAATGAACATTCATCCTGGTTTGTTTGTGCAGAAGTTAGATGAGCAAGTCTCATCTCCCAGTTTTCAGTGCATTTTCTCATCCTTTTTTTAATCACAAAAAGTCTGATTTGGAAAAATGGGTTCATTGCACAAGAGCTCCCAATTAACCTAAATTTGCCAAAACCTGATTGACTCCCACCTGGAAATAACGGCAGTCTGGAAGCACCCTATCTGAACCTGAGATTTCCATGCCCAAACCTGACCCTGCAGCCACCATATGGAGAGAACAGGACTAGGCTGGGGTCTGTGCCCAGGGATCTATATGCTCATCCGTCAAGCACTTAGCTGGAGCCCCATACCACCTTTGATTGGGTTACATAAAAGGCGTCTTTTATATTGCAAGTTGGTGGTTTCTATCTTCAGAGCATGTTCCACATCAGCTTGTCTGCTGAGGAACCCATGGGCGTCTGCCACAGAAATGCTGCACATTGTAGACTACATTCAAGGGCAACTCTTTTCAAGCTGTGCTTCACGGAAGCCCCAAGGTCTGTGGGAAGACATAATGGGTTCCTCTGTAAGACAGACCATAATGGCAGGCAAGCTTACATGAAAGACAGACATCCTTTGCTGCAATCTAGAGTTCTAATGGGTTGTGGGTATATTTCTGAGGTATGTTCTCAGTTGCTGCAGGGTAACATGAATTGAGGGCTCACCTCAAAATCATCTGCAACTTGCAAGGGTTCCATGGCAAATGCTTGCAAGCTCCTCAGAAGAGAAGTCAGTGTGCAATGCATGACCATTTCTGGAATGCATATACTCAATTCACACTGGCACAATCAGCATGTATGTATTGAGAGTGCACTCAAGAAAACTCCACAAAGGCTCCCTCGCAAGGGGAGATACGTATGTGGTTTGGGGGGAGGATTTCCAGAGTTTGAAAAGCAGCGCTCTGGGTAAGCTGGCAACTTTAGTTGGCCAGAATGCAAAACCCTGAGCAGATTCTGATTGGGGACGAAACAAGGAACAAACATGTTTCCTCATCCCTATGTGAAGGATGCCAGGGGATTTAGCACTTTGGACAGAAGCCCAAGTCTGCTTGATCCAGTACTGTTCCCCAAAGGATCCCAGGGTAATTCTAATTTGATTATTACAAAACATTTCAATAAAATTGTTTCTAGTCACAATTATTTTTCCTATTCCATCAATATTTACCTAACAATGTGGTCTCAAACCACCCAATAAAAGTGTCCTCATTTATCTGATTGTTTTGTGTAGTAAATTCTATAGATGAGCAAGCAATACTTTTAGCACATATGGAACAATTGCCATGATTGAGCCTTATTTTTTAATAACATTTATGATTTCAGGTTTGTTTGGCTTAGTATCATGACATCGGAGCACTTTGGTACCCTTAGAATTAAGGAAACAGGAAGCCTCTGAGAAAATGTTCAGCCCATAATTTGTCTCAAGTCCTTTCACACACATCCACTTCAGCTTCCCTTGCCCCACACCGCACTTTCATTTTAGTTAACAGGGTGGAGAGAAATTTTGTTGCTGCTAATCAATTTTTGAAAATCTCCCACTGTAGTGAAGTTGGGAAATCTTAGTACAGTATGTTGAAACTTTGGTTCACACAAGAGTGAGGCTTTGTGGGAGAGTTGAAACTGTGGAATTCTGGGGAATGGGCATCTGGTCTCTTTAATTCTAAAACTCCCTGTCTTTAGAAGTGTAAATCAAATTGCCTCCTGACTCTAAGCAGGATGGGATGTTATCTGTTATGTACTGAAGTTCTCACCCTGGGCCAGCAGGGGGATACTGTAGATAGTTATGCAAATGAAGGATCGAAAGTGACGTTCAGTGATTGGATAGTTTAGAAAATGGCAACAGTTACATTGTTCTGGAGCTCTATATTAGCAGGCTGACTGAGCTCCTCAGTCAGTTCTGTTCCAGCTTACAAATAAAGAGCTGCTTTGGAAGAATTGCTGTGTCGTCTGATATGTTTGCCCACAATTTAACATTATCTGATTTACAGATCCTGGCATCTGGGGGCCTGAATGTGGACTGGGTGTGAAAAGGCTATCAGGAGCCTGGGATATGTCAGAATAGTCTGAGAATGGAAAGATCTCAAGGTCTTTTGATCTCAAGGTCTCTGAGAATAAACAAAGTTCAGCTGTGTGGGTCTTCTGACAATCAGGAGTTATTGTCTTATCATACAGCCATTGGCAATTTGGTAATTAACCCAAAGAAATGATTGGTTCCTAAACCTGTATTCCACATGGGGTTTCTCAAGGATAAAGGCTTGGGTAATTCAGATGCAAATGGCAGACTATCTTGCCGTGGTGTTCGCCTGAGGGCGTTTGACCAGAAGAATGGACTTTGTGACTTCTTGCTATGCTTTGAACTACTGATACTTTCTGAGTATGTTTTAGTTAGTGATACTGTGCAACATTTTTATTTTCTTGTTTGTAACCTTTTAAGAAATGTGCAAGCTTTTACTCTCTGAGTAGCTCTTTCAATAAATTTGGAAAAGGACTTTTGCCGGAGAAGCTAAACCGGTGCCTGACCACTTGGTACATCTACCTGTTGGATTTCTGTCTGCATCACAGTACAGTGACACAGGTCTGGGCAACTTGGTAAATATCGAAGGGGGGTTCTCCTCCTTGGACCCCATTTGAGGGTTGTCCCAGGAAAGAAGGTGGTGGCAGCTTACCGTTTGGTTTGTGACTTGCGTAACTATCCCTCTCCCTGCCAGGTCCTGCCACTGTCTGGAAGACTGGTTTTGGGGGTGGATATCCCGTGCGATTACTACCCACTTGATTGCAGCCCACTTGAGATCAGGCCATGACCTGGTCATGGCTACCCAGCCACCAGCAGAAGGCTGGGGCTCCCACCAGCTGGGGTACAATCAAGTTTGGGGTCAGGCTCTCAGACGGAGACCTTTGGTTCTACAGAGGCTCAAGCCATCCTTGCATGAACAGTCTAAACATCTATCAGTTATGATCAATTGAATCAACATCCTGCCAGACTGATGCCTCCCCAGGTGATCTGTATTCAGCAAAAGTTTTATTGCGGCTAGGATATACGTCTTCTATCAAAAGGGCACAACACAAAATTGAAGCAAGACAGAAGTCGTGGTATAGACCGGATGTTCTGTTAATGTCTTAATGATATTTTTACTGTGGTGTCCAGGACTGACCAGTCTCACCTTCAGGATTCAACAGCACATAAGGCTATTAGATTGCACATGCAGAACCTATGGCTCTGCCACGGCTGTGTCTAGCTTAGTCCTGACCATTCTGACTCACAGTGGCTCTCTAGGTCCTGGGCAGGGGTCACTCTGAGCCCAGGTGCCTGAGTTTCATTTAGCTGGAGATGTCTACACCTGGCACCTTCTGCATGCAGTGCATGTGCTTTGCCTATGGAACTTCCCTGAGAAACTCTTCTTCTCTTCCCTGTCCTTTTTCCATGCCGTCCCTGAAGTGCTAATATCCGAATGGTAGAGACAGAGTGTTCCTTCCAATTCTGCAGGAACACCAAGGCCATAATCCATAAAGCTACATTATATATCCATGTAACCAAGTTTTATATTTTATTTATTCCAAGACTCATCATCATCATTGTATTCAGCAGGCATCATTTGATATGCCAAACAATTCATTACTATACAGCTGGCGCTCAAAGTAGAAACCCAGGACTCATTTATAGGAGCCAACAATGCAGCTGCAAACTTACTTTCAGCTACCATAAAAATGGAGGACAGTGCTTTCTCGTAACTTGTTAACCAATTATGTTTAGCTAAACTTCTTGTTCTGTTTCTCCGGCACAACTTGTGTTGCCTCAGAGACCCATGCAAGTGCTGACACATGCAAGCATTCTTCAGTAACATTTTATCTTGCAGCCTGACATTAAAGCTGTTTTGCTGTGGCAGTTTCCATGTTGACAACACTGACGCCCCTGTTCTATTCTCTCTGAAAAATAGGTCACCCCTTTCTTTACTGCAGTGAGTGGAGGAGAACAAAAGCAAAGTTCCATATATTAGGGAAAGGTAGGTACCTGGAGAACTCAGCTCAGGTGGTGCCCATCTTAGACCCTGATGTAAAGGACCCCTATCCTCACTCTCACACTATTTTGTACTTTGCTCTCTGACCCTCTCTGCTACAATGTAAAAATAGCAAGAGTGGACTTGGCAGAGCCCTCCCTGTCAGCTGCTTAGACCACACAGCAAACCAGCCCAAGGCAGAGAGAAAGGGGAGTGAGTGACTGAGGTGCCCAAAGAAAAGGCTCAGCCAAAACAGTTCTGGTTTGCATAGAAATTGGGGTGAAGGGGAAGAGCCCCTTGTCTGTGGTATTGGCATGTGTGGGACTAAGTCCATAGTGTGGCCCTCCAGTCCTTGGTCAGTTGAAAAGGGCAGCACCTGTGAAAATTTAGTTACCAACCAGGGTATTGCTCTGGTTGCAGGGCTGCAGGCCTCTTTCCTCCTGCCACGCCAGTGTCTGCAGCCTAGTTGGGGGGGGGGATGCTGATGTGGTCCAGCTTTCAGAGTTTAACTAAATAAAGTCAGGGAGCAAAGCCGCAACCAGACACATCTGCGAGGCCTCAGTGTGAACCCTGAACAAGTCAACAGTCCATCAATGGGGCTCATAGGACTGCAGAGCCCCAAAAGCCAACTGGAATCTCACCCCACTTTTACAATTTCTCACCTGTCTTTTTATATTGTTTCAATAAAATAATGATGGTCTTTTTCTTTTCTTGCAGAAAGACTGGAGAGATAATTAAAAAGTGATCAAGCTACTTTTAAAACAACTTGTTTAATGCTTTCCAGATTATTCACAACAACAAAATTAGGATTTCAATGCACTTTACTTTTAGAAAAACAACAACACTGGGGCGTAACAAAAATCAGTAAGCATAAACTTTGACTTTATGAACTTCTTTGTCTTCACATTCTCTTTCTTTGTTGTAATAGTAGAAAGTATTGTCCCTTCTCTGAAGCTTCTTCACGAATCCAGTTTCAGGCCACCTTTCCACCTGTGTGCAGAAGGACAAGAGGGTGGGATGCACAGGTCTTTCAAACAGCCGGCACAATGCAAAAAGGTACCCATCAGCGACGATATATAAGTGCAGTGCATGCAGTGTTAGGAGAGAGGCAGTTCCTCAGATGTTCCATCTGGGGCCACTCAAAGCTGCTTCCTGGAGTGTGGCCAATGTCACAGGTTGGCAGCTTCTAGGAGCCACAGTTGAGAGCCGAGTGCAGGGTGGGGACCGAAGGGGGACAAACGGCGCCAGAAGGAGCACAACCTCTCCCCCAACACCCTATACATCCATGTAAATGGTGATACTCTAGGTAATATGGGACCAGTCAATGAAGGGCTGGGGCCCTGGGGGTCAGTATAATTAATTGATTAAGCTGTGATCCCCAGTTCGTATGTAATGACAAGTAACAGCTTGTGAAAACTAACAGTAATACTGACATCCTTCTCCTATTTGTGCAGGAGGAAGAGAGGAGTTGGGGAGCGTAAGAGTCAGAAGCTTGGCTTACGGACAGAACACCAAACCATGGTGCAGCATGATGGGCAGATTGGCTGGTGCAGGTCCTGGTTGTGTTTCATTAATACATTTTGCATATTTGATAAGATATCTAGATTGTAATCTGTGATGAATAGTTTAAGTTGATGCTCCCCAATTCTGTACCTCTATAACCATCTCTGTACTTGTGCTTCCTCCACAAAATGAAGCTGTTTCCCTACCTCTGTGAGATCTTAAATATGTCATGGATTCTCAGAAAGAATAAAGTGATACAGAGAACCAAAGTGAACAAAAACAAATCTTCAATTCCACAATATTTTACTGTTTTATCCAGTCTTGTGACCACCATCCACTTGCAGGTCATTCATCTCAATTAGTAAAGGATACTTTCAAATGTTTTCAATGGTAAATTTAGGGTGCTCAGTTCCTCTATGAATAAATGAGCTAAAATCTGCTCTAACAAAATCTGCTCTAAACAAAATGGGAGAAACTCTGTGTTCTCTGGCACATATGAATTTCCCAGGGTAACAGCTTTTATGAAATCCAAAACACAGAAAGCCGTATGTTCCATGATGGTTCTCAAAAAATCTAGGGGTTTTGAAGGGTCAGAAGCTGGAAGGCTAAAAGGTCCAGCTCCATTCATTCTCATTATTGTCAGCATTGGGTGACTACAAAGGACTCTGTAATGCTCACCTGGAAAAAACAATCTTAACAGGGATTAATTCTTCAAAATGAAATGCTGGAGGGTGCGAAAGCCTGTTTGGGGCATCATGTCCCCCTGGGGAGGAAACATTTTCACTGCTCAACCTTACTGAGTAGGATGAACAGCACCAGAGCACCCTAATAACTGCCTCTTTACAGTCCAAGCTGGTTTCATTGTTGCTGGAGTGGGCATGACCATAACAGCTCCTCAGGCAGGAAGGTGTGCAGGCAATCCTTTAGCAGGTAAATGCCAGATGTATGGTATGTAGCCAGAGCGTACATGAAATGCAGCTGTAATACCAGAATTCTCCTCCTCCCCCTGTTAAGTGTGTGATTCCTGTTGATTAGTCAAGGATACCAGAACCTCCACACACTGTGAAACTAACTATCAGCCATTCAGTTGTTTAAAAAGCAGAGACAATCCATTTCTCATGGCTGAATGATATGAAGAGCCACTTCTGAGCTGTACTCATGGCCAGGATCCAAACAGCTACTTTAAGCACTCCCAAGGAGCTGGGCATGCTTGGTGGGATATTTGGCTTTCTAGTTTATATATCAAACCCTCCAAATGCTTCAGAACGTCCCTTCAGATTCAATAATGGCATGCTATGTGTAAGGAGAGGAGCTGACGCTCATAAATGCTGGTACAAAGTGTTCTTGAGCATGTGAAATTATTTATGCAATTCCTTGAATTCCAGCCAGTGTATTTCATGTATCATACATTTCTTCTGCACTCTGAGAGACTCAAAAAGTGATCTGGTTGGCGAAGTGGAGACCTGCATACAACACCCAGTGGCCCTACCAAATAGTAATCAAAAGTCAGGGAAACAGGTTCGTGTGTTCCACCACCACATGCACACAAAATCATGACAGTCAGAATTTCTGCACCTGGGGTAGGATCCAACTGAGTCCTACTCAGAGTTATTGGTATCCATCTGACTCAAGAGACAATGGAGTGCACGTCTGGGGGTGAGAAGTCAAACTGTTGTGCCAGCAGCACTGAAATGACTTCCCTGAAGAACAAGCCTGGGCAGTGTGTCTGGAGGTCCTGGGCTGCCCAGACAACAAGACCCTCCTCTCAGTCTCTCTGACGGGGTACAGAGGAAAGCAAAGCAAGACGTTTGGCACCAGTTTGGCTGCAGGTGCTGATGGAAGGAGGCATACAAGGCACCATCCAACCGCCTTATGGACTCCAGAATTCTGCAGGGTGTACTTCTTAGCCTTTTCTTCTGCCAAAGGTATCCCGCAACGGTGCAGAGGTTTAGGATCAGAGTTTTCCTTCTTCTAGATGAGCTCCCTTCCCAGATTCATGTCTACTCCTCACTTCCATCCATAGCATGTGCAAAAACCGCCTTCTTGACCGTTGAACCCACTATCAGTCTCAGCCACTCAATCCACCAGAGCCTGTCTTGGCCTACAGGGGAAAACCCTAACTTATCAGGGGGGCTGGAGACCCACCAGCTTCCTCCTGGTTTAGCCAGTCAGTTGAAGCTGTTTCCCAGGGTGTGGCCACTGTCACATCCTGACAGCTTCTAGGAGACACAGGTAAGAGTTGAGTGCAGAGTGGGGACCAAAGGTGGACAAACTACCCCAGAAGGAGCATGACATGTCCCCCATCAGAGGTACTACCCCTCCCCAACACCCCATACACCATACTTAGAGCAGACCTGCTGAAATCAGTGGACAAGTCATGTCCACTGATGACAGTGGGTCTGTCCTGAATAGGAGTATTGAATATTGAATTGAGAACTGAGAACTGAGAACTGAGTATTGAATATTGAACTCAATCACACTTATTTCTGAGTAAGCCTAGGATTGCTGTTACTGCACCTCATTTCTGATGTGAATTTTGTGAATGGGAAGAAATCATGGTTGGTATACATGGACAATGAACTCTTGATCCCGTTGGATCAGGGTAATGTACACTGATTGCTAGACCTGCAAATACGTCTTGAGATGGAGGTGTGATTTGAATAACCGCTACTGATTCACAAAGACACCAATAGCTTTTATAAGCCAGTGAAGCTTCCCAAATTGGTTCCTATGGGACAAGACATTTGAGGTAGACTCCAAGTGAAAGGTTACTGGTCCCCTAACACAGCCTAAAAGCTTTCTTGTTCTTCTTGTTCTTCATTTTCTGAGGGTGTACACAGGGGCAAATCAGTTCAGCAGAGAACATAAATATAAAAAAATGAATTATGGTCACAGAAAACATTTATATGCAATATTTTAAAAGGACAGAATGTTTGCCACTAAACTACAAAATGCTTGCATAATTATGAAGTCTTACCATGTCTACATGCTTCACTTGTTTATATTCAATTTCATCCCTATATCCAGCTTGCTGAAATCTGTAGAGATTCTCAACTTCACCTGACCATATCTTGGCACGATGTATGGATTTAGGTTTGGTGTCAATACCGGCTGTGGCTCCAGAGACATCACCAGTTAATTTGCTGAAAGTAATTTTTAAAGAGTTTCAATTGTATGGAGAATGCTTGAGAGTTAGAAGTGAATTTCAACTGAATGTGAATATAAAAAGACATGAGCACTGTCAACTAATTATAGTTTGTTAAAACACAAGTAAACAATATCCCATTCTAAACTGTGTTAAGTACAAGAATCTATCAACTACATGAAGCTATATGTAAAATGCAGGACAAATGAGTGGGGACACATGACATTTACAGGGTATATTCTGCCTCTCCACAATCCCACATTTGGCAAAAGGGAGGCAAGTCTTTGTTGCTGAAATATGTCATGGACTGTGGCTTTGGATCCCAATTTCCTCTCCTCCAGGATCTTTCTGGCAGCAAACAATAGCTGACATTTTTGTAGTATAATTTTACAGGGTGCAATTTCTCTCTTCCACTGAGATCTCTTAAGCAGTGAAGTGGGAATTTCTCTTTGCTTTAAAAAAGGATCTTTGGAAAGGAGAACTGGGCTCTCAGGACATGTGTCCATAGGGTACAATTCCCCTTCCCCTTGTGTTTTCTTCTGTACCCAAGCAGGCAAGGGCCAACGTTGGTGCACCTCCTTCTGCTGGCAGAGAATCATCCTAGCACACAGAGTCCCTTCTCCAGACCTCCACTCACCTTATTTTGCACCATCATACAGACTCTGACTGGCAAAAGAAGTCATCAAACAGAAGCAATTAAGCTAATATCTGGTCGTTCTACTGGGCAGCTATATACGTTATTCCATTCAAAGGGCAGGCAGCTAATCAACCCAGCTATTAAAATCTTTGTCTCTCAAATCATTGCCCAAATGCGCTATGGAGCTGAGATATGGGGAACTGGTGTTAAATCTGAAATAGAGGGCCTACAAAATAAATTTATGAGGCAGATTTTAGGGTTTCCCTGCAGGACACCAGCAGCCCACCTTAGAGCTGAGCTGTGCCTCCCCTTGCTAGCAGCCAGAATGGATCTAGCCTATCTGAGATACTGGTGCATGCTAAATGCCTTCGAGTATCGTACTCTTACTAAGCTCTGCTGGTGAGAGCAACCAAGGACAGGGGGCTGGGCAGAAAAGTGCCAATATAAGCTTAGGGCTTATAATCCTCAAATGGAGAACTACTTAGCCCTTAGCCCACGGGACCTTAGAAATTGGATTATTGATCAGGATGCCAACCAAGACAGAGTATCCATCATTGCCGCCCATTACTCTACTTGGTACCCCCAAATTAAGACCAATCACTCAAGGCCCCGTTACCTTGAGACTCTGACCTTTCCACAACTTCACAGGGCCTTTGCAGAACTAAGATTCCAACAGATGCCCTCAGCATATTTAGAGGGGAGATATCAGGGAATTCTCCATATGGATTGCAAATGTATATATAGATGTCATCACACACTATCTGCTGATTTTCCCCCTGTATACAACGCCCAGATGGAAATTTATATTCTTAATCGGCTTCCAGGTCGATCTGCACAGGAAGCAACAGTTGAACTCCAAGCAGATAAACATCTATATATTACACACCACGTAGCCATATTTGCGCTGGCAGCCAAGAAGCTCCGTTCCAGCTACATGAATGCACTCCAATTTTAAATATAATGTTGTACATTTCTTTTATGTTTACAACTGCTACAGGTTATGTTGTATGATTTTAGATGAATGTTTTTCTTTTATTCTCTGTTATACATTATAAAGGCCTTTGGCTATATACAATAAAATGGACTTTGGCAACAGAAATACTGCATTCCAAACAACACAAAGTTTTAGTGCCACTATTTGTCCCAACTCTGCAAGTTGTGAAGGATTAACTTTCTCTTAGTTCTGTTCATATGTGGGCCTATATTATCTGTCAGTGAAGAATGAAACCAAACTTGACTAGCATGTTAACATGAAGACTCTGTATTATCACCACTTACGAGTCTTCAAGGCTATCTGATTCTCTCCTGAACGATGTCCCAGGCACATCTGACACAGGTGCTTCTTCAGAGGAGAAAGCTGAACATGGTACATCCTTACCGTCCATGAAGGCTACTGGGTTTTCCATAATAGCTCCTGCAAAAACAAAAAAACGTAGCCAAGTGTGTGGAGCACTTTCACCTACTGCTGCCTGCAAGTACCTGTTGAGTGACTTAATGAAACTTTGAATACAAAGAAATCCAATTTTTAACTGAATTGAAAACCAGGAAGGGTCTAATATGTGCTTTTGGAATCACTTGGGAATAGACATCATTTATTTACTTGTGAGTTGCTCTCTCTCTCCCTCCCCCCCCATATTTTTCCATGTATAAGACTATGTTCCCCCCCCCCAAGTTTTTTAAGTTTAAAATTGAGGGTCGTCTGATACACGGAATGTTTAAAATATGTATTTCTTACTTTTGGGCTCAAAAAAGACGGGTCGTCTTATACATGGGGGGGATCTTATAGACAGAAAAATACAGTATATATTGAAATGCCTCAAGTACCATAACTGGGGGGGGGGAGTGAGGTGTTTTTGTTTATTAAAGGCTCGCCCCCGCCCTTCCTTCTCCCAGGGGCCATTTAAAGCTTAAAAGACTAAACAAATCCCCAACAGCCGTAAAAGAAGCAACCTTTTTTGCTGCTTCTTTTCATAAAGTTAACCCCCCTGAGGGAATCGGGAGGCGGGGCTGTCGGTCGAGATATCGCGATATTTGAGCCCTGAAAGGGGCGGGGCTCCCCTAGGGGCGGGACCAAGCACCTAGAGGTGGGCGGGGCTGACTGGGCACCCAATCAGCAACGCTTCTTTCTGGGGCAGGGAAGGTCCCCTTTTCCCGCTCCCCCGTCCCGCCCCGCCGTGATTCCCTCCGGGCCCCCCCGGCTCTCCCGCACTTCCAGCCGAAGCTTCCCCGCCCGTCCGCCCCGCGGAGCCCCGACTCACCCCGGACGGGAGCGTCTCCGCGCGCGCCGCTCTCCCCTCCCCCACTCAGCGGTTGTGAGGTTGCTTAGCAACCTTCGGCGGGAGTTCGGCCAATGGGACTGCGTCTCGAGCCGCCGAACGAAATCGGCCAATCAGGAGGCGCTCCTGGGAGGGCGCTGTCCGTAAGCAGCCAATCGGTGCAAAGTTTACCCTTCACACGCTTTGGGGGTTTACCTCAGCTCCGGCGTCTGCCGAGGGGTGGGCGGGGCCTGGTCCTTTTCTGGCCAATGGGGGCGGCGGCGCGGAAAGGAGCCTGCCGGAAGTGGCCTCGGCGGAAGAGTCGGAAGGGGGTTCGGCGGACCTTTCCGGGCGCCCCGCAGCCCCGCCGCCTTGGGTCCGGCGGCGCCATGAGCAGCTTCGGCGGGAGGATGCGCGAGTATCCCCGGCTCTCCATCGACCGCTTCGACCGCGAGAACCTCCGCGCCAGGGCCTATTTCCTGTCCCACTGCCACAAAGGTCCGCTCCTGCTGCTGCTGCTGCTTCGCCGTTTCCCTTTCCTCCTCCTCCTCCTCCCGCCCTCACAACAGCCCTGCGAGGGAGGCCCCGCTGAGAGGCAGCGACTGGCCGAGGGGGGACGAGCCCGCTCTCCCCAGGGCCTCGCCCAGCACTCCAACCGCTACACCTCACAGCCCTTGCCTTATGCTGCCCCCCCCCCAACATCCTTCCAGCCAGTGTTGGTCAACACCGAAGTAGGGAGCGCTTTGCTTTTGTTTTACTATTTTTCATTCTTATTACTATCCACTGCCGGGGCTTCGCCTCGGGAAGAGAAGACTCACAGAGACAAGTGTCTTTGAGCATGCACCGAGTGCCATACTTTCTTCTCAGAACTGCCCCCTTCATTGTGTTTCAAAAGGTGCTGCCCGCCTGGTTGAAACCAGCTGCTGGCAAAACTCTCCTGGCAAATCTCTGGTCCTGGACATGCTCTGCCTGCTGATCTGCGCCTGCCTCTGCTGACGCCCCAGAGCCCTTGTCCCTGAGCAGTAACAGGAGAAGTCTGTCCAGCTCCTGATACCTGCCAGTGCTCAGGTTACTTTCCAGGGATATCGCATAAAGCCAAAATCACATAAAGTCAAAACATTTTGGGTTTAATGACAGGTGGGATTGATAAACTCTACCCCCCCATGCACTCCCCCCCATTTTAATTTTTGTTTTTTTTAATTGCCAAGTGCATAAAGCTGAACCCGCACAAGTTAAATGCTGATAAGTGGAGAGTTCCCTGTAATGGCATTCATTGCACACTTCAGGAGAAGGAGGGGTTCTGAATTGGGCTGCAGTTCCTCAGAAAAGGATCCTGTCCCCTGAGCAATTTGTGCTATTTCCTGAGCAACTGTTTTAGAAGATTCTGGGACAGGAGCATGATTTAACCCTGCTTCTCTGATCATGCTGACGCTTGTGCCTGTCCTTCTGGCCTGTACTGAGGCCCAAGACTGTTCTTAGCATGGCGGAGTTCTAAAATAATCTTCCTCTTTTAATATGTTAATATTTAGATCACATGAAAGGCCTGAGAGCTCCTTCCCTAAAAAGAAGACTGGCATGCAGGTAATGAAAAGGGAGAAAGACGTGTGTGAGAATAGGCTGGGACCTGTGGTGAGTGAAGGGATAAGAAAGCATCAGCACCTTCTCAGGCTGATCTCCTTAAGGATGAGAAGAAACTTGTTTTTATTTTAAACATGGAAGTTTAGCTTCTCATATTCTGCAACTAAATACAGTAATCTGTAATTTATAAAATGACCATAGTAGATTCTCTGATTTACTGCATATACACCCTTTTGCTTTGTTTGTTACCTGAGTTCTTAGCATTCTGTCTGGGTCCTTAGTAAAAACTACAATTTCACTTCCATTTCTCCCATGTGGGTAAGTGTAGCTCAGATTCTAAGGATTTCTCCCTCCCCTTTCCTGCCCAGTTCTTAAATGTAGTTTTAGGATTCATTTATCTATGTGTGTTTTACACTGCACTTTCTGCAGTGCATATTTTTACATGCCCTGAGAATTTTAGCCAGCCTTTTCTATTTACCCCCTAAATGTACTCAGCTAATGCAGGGAAGGTGCTGGAATGTGGGATTCAAATCTTGGAAGATGAGTAGTTTGGGTAGAGCAGTGGTCAGCAACCTTTTTCAGCCGTGGGCCGGTCCCCCGTCCCTCAGACCATGTGGTGGGCTGGACTATATTTTGGAAAAAAATAATGAACAAATTCCTATGCCCCACAAATAACACAGAGATGCATTTTAAATAAAAGCACACATTCTACTCATGTAAAAACACCAGGCAGGCCCCACAAATAACACAGAGAGGCATTTTAAATAAAAGGACACATTCTACTCATGTAAAAACAGGTTGATTCCCGGACTGTCCATGGGCCGGATTGAGAAGGCAATTGGGCCTTAGGCATAGCTGTCAATGTTTCCCTTTTTTCAAGGGAAATTCCCTTATTCCGAATAGGATTCCTCACAAGAAAAAGGAAAAGTTGACAGCTATGGCCTTAGGTTGCCTACCCCTGGGGTAGAGGCAAAGTTGTCTAGCTAGCAAGTGTGTGGTGTCAGATGGGTGTCTTCTGTCTGTAGGCAGGGGAAGAGACTAAAGGGCATATAATACAGCAAATGATGTCTGGGATTGCTTACTTCTCCCTCCTTAAGTCACAGACACCTTTGCCATATCACAGACTTGCTTGTTGAAGGAGTTTGCAAGGAGGCATGGGAACTACTTTTTGTTTGATTTTTTGGATATTGGACAACCACCATTTGCTTTTTTGTGAGACATGTATCTCTTTTTTCTTCAAAGCTTAAAAGTTCGCTTGTATTGTTCACCAGTAACAAAGGAGTTGCTGCTAACTAATCCACGGTATAAATTTTGGGAGAATCACATTGTAAGTTGCCTCTTTTCATGTGTAGTTGAAGTAAACAGACACTATTAATGCATCTTAAAGCTGTTATAGCTAGCAATGTCAGCAAAAGATGAAGCTGCCATAATCCTAAGGTCAGGCACCCCCAAACTCGGCCCTCCAGCTGTTTTGGGACTACAACTCCCATCATCCCTAGCTAACAGGACCGGTTGTCAGGGATGATGGGAATTGTATTCCCAAAACATCTGGAGGGCCGAGTTTGGGGATGCCTGTCCTAGGTGGTGAAGTCCATTTAAACTGTGTTGTAGTCATCATCTTTAATTTTAGTATGTCTACTCTGAGTAAAACTCAATACCACCCTAAGCTTTACTTCGTTCACCTGTTGTGTCTTAAAATGAAATACAAAGGTGTATCCTGGGACTTCCTTCCTTTCTTTAGACTGTTCAGTCTCAGGTTCTCTCTGCCCTGGCAGAGCCACAGAAGGAGATGGTGGCACAGGTCTCTTCATGCAGAGAGAACTCCATAATAATAATAATAATAATAATAATAATAGTTTATTTATATCCCGCCCTCCCCTGCCGAAGCCAGGCATTAGCATTTCATCTCAAGCTCCTGTCTGATATACGGTATGTTCCAGACTTTTTGTGGAGCTTCTCTTGGTGCAGAACAGAGGATTATTAGGCTGCAAAGAAATTGTGGAACATGACTCAAAAAGGAAGAAACTTGGTGAAAAAAATTGTTTTTTTGAATGAGTCATATTTCTTCCTTTGCTGGGTCATGTTTTGCAAGAAGTACCCATTAACAGTTGCTTTTCGTAGATCTGAGGTCCCTCAGGTGCATGTCCTCAGGCATTCTGTGGGGCCCACAACAGTTTCCATACAGGTTTCTTAGATTTTGACATGCCCCCAGGCTCCAGAAAGTTGGGGAGCCTTGTCATAAGTTAATGGCTTACCTTCCACAGGAATGTGCTTGTCTCCTGATCCTAGCTATTACCATGCCATTAAAAACATCTGTTTTGTACATGCTGTAAAAACAGTTCTCATCACCTATAATGTGCCTCTGTACATTTGTTTGTCTGTCTGCTGTAGGTTTCCATTGAAGTTGAAACTCCAACGCAGATTTCTCTGGTTGATGAAGCATCTGGTGAGGTAGTCAGTTATGTTGACTGTTTAACATTTTAATATTTCACCTAAGTAGGTAGGAGTGCTAGTTACTCTTTGCTCTGAAATTCCAATTTTGGCCAACAAAATGGAAGCCTACTATCTTTTTTACTTTCTCCTTGTTTGTCCTAATTTCCTCTCTCTTTTATACTGTGCTTTGAAGTCTTCAGGTTTCTCCTCTTTTCTGCATCTTTATAATAAAAGTATATGCTAATAGCATATGGCACAAGAACCCATGCCACCAGGCAATTTCTAGCCCATGCACCTTATTGGCAGGTGTTTTTCAGGCACCACTAATCAGCTGGTGGTCTGTGCCTGCACAGCTCCTTGCACAGCACTTCCCAGCCGCCACTTCTCAGGACTTCCCCAGGGCTGGTGATCAGCAGATTGTCAGTGCTAGGGAAGCACTGGACATGTCTTGCCAGCACCATTTGAATTCACAGAGCAAGGGCAAAAGTGAGTTGTTGTGACATCAAGCAACTGACAGGTCAGCAACCTGTCTGTCTCCCCACCTGCCTGTCATACCTGGTGAGAGGGAGAGGTACGGAGATAAGGAGTGGATCCACTGGCCAGATTCCCATCCTTGATATAAATGAAAGTCAGGGGCAGGGCAAGAGCCTGTGAGACTGGTCTCTCCCCACACCCCCAGGCCACGGGGTCCTATCCCCAGATGCCTTGCGCGCACAGGGTTCTGTTTCCCACCTCCTTGTCTTCACTCTGCACAGCAGCCAGGCAAAAACTATTCATTACAAAGTTAACATGAAACGAGTCAATGTCTGTGTGTCTTCCTTCCTTCCTTTGTGTCTCTTTCCAGAAAGAAGATTTAGTTGTAACGCTTCTGCCAGCCGGCCATTGCCCAGGATCAGTTATGTATGCATTTTTCTTGCCTTCAAATAATTAATGGAAATCAATATGAAAAATATATGTCACAGTGGGTTGTGGTTCTATAAGAATTAAACTGCAGTTAGTTTATTTTGGATTTGTTTACCAAAGACTGACTTCCCCCACTTTCCGTCCCTGGTTATGGGCGTGGGGGCCTTTTAATGGGATGCCTTGGTCTCGCACACCATGCCCAGGCAAAATTGCAGTTTGTATTCATATTTATTACTATTTATTAATGAGTTGGTCTTTCGACATAACATAGAATCAAACACAGTACAAAATAAGATTTAAAATACAATAAAAACAGAATAAACAAATGCATGGCAATGTTAGTTGAACCAGCAGCAGGCTGCAGAATGGGAGAGGGGGAGTGGTAGAGGGACTTAAATTTCTCTTTTGTCATCCTTTTCTAGTGGTTATTCTGAACCAAAAAGTGAAGCCAGGATTTGAGGCTGTTTCTGTAATTAAGAGAGAATCCCATTGGTGTTAGCTGCAGTTAATGCCAATGCTGATGGGAAATGAAACTGCACTTACAGCTTGGGGGAACAGGGCCTTGTTTGGTTTTTTGTGAGAACTGGGGAGAGCCACAAGAGCGAATGCACACAGTTACAAGCGTGATAAGATACTTGGGGCATTGCTCCTGTTTATATGCCTCTTCGTCCCGCTATGTGCAATCGTCTGCTGCCCAAGTTTCTTAGCCGAAAACCAGTGCCATAGCCCACTCTCCTGGCTTTCACCATTCCATTGTTCCGAAACCCAGCAAAACCCCCAATGCTGAAACTGACAGCAGTGCCTTTTCTCGTGCAGGTTTCTCTTCCAAGGTGAAAGTGGCACTGTGTTGTACACTGGGGATTTCAGACTTGCCAAGGGAGAAGTGGCCAGAATGGAACTTTTGCATTCGGGGAGCAGGTAATGGATTGTGGACCTTTCTGGTTTGGCTTCGTTGTCCTTTGATTAGAGGGTCAGGTGCGTGACAGGCAGAACCCTGTTCTGTTAACCCTTTGCAGGTACAATAACTTGTAAATGGTATGCTTTGCACGTGAAAACCACTAAAACACATGGACCCTGAATGCAAACCTCTTAAACCTTTAGAGAGCAGTCACAGCTTTGGCCCGGGAGCTGACAGAAAGGAAACCCCGGAGCCTTAGCGCTTGCATATTGCCTTCCATGGCCACAGTGTGCCGTGGAGATTTGGGCACTGCTTTGGTAGGAAGGCTGCTTGGTTTCTTCTAGGTGCATTCATTTGTGAAGGCAAATGTCACCTTTTGGATGCCAACAGAAATACGAGTATGTTGCTGCGTAACACGCGACTGATAGCGCTGTGCCAAGCACAATCTTGAATATTGAATTTCTCTCTTACAGAGTGAAAGACATCCAGAGTGTGTATTTGGATACTACTTTCTGTGATCCCAAGTATTATCAGATCCCCAGCAGGGTAAGTATAATTTGAAGGAAGAGGTTTCTTAAACAAACAAAAAAACCCAACATGCAGCTTGCTTGCTTGCTTGCTTGCTTGCTTGGCCAGAATTCCGCTTGGGACTTTTAGCACTCAACTTTTCAATGGGAACTGTAGTTTATTAGGGGTGCTGAGTGTTGGTAGGTGCCCACGTCCTCCTGGAGTGCTTTGACCTGACTGAAATGTTGTCTTGAACTGTGTCGATGCCTATTTCTCAGCTGGATGGAGGACAGAGAGAAGGGGCAGGAGGGAGGGAGAAACATTTGACTTGTGTGTACCTCTGGCCCTTCCCACTGCTGGTATGTGGACCCTGAAGCCCCCCCCCCCCCCGTGGAAGGGCAGCCCTTGGCCAAAAGAGGCTCCCTACTCTGCCTGCACAAAGTGCTTGGTTTTAGTGGCCAGGGATCAGTTGTGGGCTCAACAGAACGCGAATCCGTTTAGATCTGCTATATGCGAATGCCCTGCAGTCTTTTTCCTTCAACAGGAAGAATGTATGAAAGGCATATTAGAGTTAGTGCAAAGCTGGATCACCCTCAGTCCTTATCATGTGGTGTGGCTGAACTGCAAAGCAGCTTATGGATATGAGTATTTGTTCACAAATCTCAGCGAGGAGCTTGGAGTTAAGGTAAGATTGTCGTTCTGAATACAACCCCTTTCTGAATGGAGCACAACCATGATCCCTCCTCCCCACCGCAAGGCAAATTCCTTGAGAAGGAGAAGCTTGCTGTCTCTTTTCTCAGTTAGTCTACAACAGCACTAATAATGGCAAACTTAATTTCCTAGGTGCACGTGAACAAATTGGAAATGTTTAAAAACATGCCAGAAATCCTCTACCACATCACCTCCAATCGGCACACTCAGATTCATGCCTGTCGCCATCCAAGGGTGCGTATCTGTCAGCATTTGACACTCCCCTTGGGTGTTAAGTGCTAGAGGCCCTGGGGGCTCCATGTTAAAGAAGAGTCTGGCTTTGAAGAAACCAGGAGATGTTTGGCCAAAGCAGCTTTAATATTCTTATTTGGAGGAAAGGTTTACTTTCCTATGGCTTTTCCAAAACGACTATTCACAGCGCTATAAAATGAACTAAACCAAAATAAAACTAAAGCACAGATGAGATGACAGTAAAGTATCACTTTTAAAAGCCCATCAGGGAAGCTATTAGACAGGTTCCCCCCCTTCCGCCCCTGAAAACACCACTCTGAAGGTCAGTCCTGGGTTGGCTGAGTGGAAGGGCTGTAGCTCAGGGACAGCACACAAGCTGTGCACATCTGGGTAGAGCCGTCTGATGCCTAAAATACCAGAGAGCTGCTTCCAGTCAGAGTCAGCAACACTGAGCGAGGTGGAGCAGTAGTCTGACTTGGTGCAAGGCAGCTTGCTGTGTACCTTCAAGGGGAGGGCATTCCAGGAACGGTTGCCACCTCTGAACAGCTGCTCCTGAGCCCCAGCTGATCCCAGAGGAAACTTCAGGGAGGCATGTGTTGGTGGAAAAGTACCTTGCAATGTGCAGGATCCAGGCTGCTTAAGGGCTTAGAGATGCTACTCAGCACCTCCAACTGAGTCCAAAAGCACACCAAGTGTATTCAAAGCATGTCCGGTGCTAAGAGCATAGAGAGAAGCTACATTTCTTCATAGCTGTGATACTAAGTGTCAGTCTAGGGTGCTAGTGGGGGGGGGAGGAGGAGTGCTGAGCTCCCCTCATTGTGCGATGCTCCTCAAAATATTGCAAAGACCGCCCTCCACCCGTTTTAGGTGCTTGAAAGAACAAACATGGCTGCCCAATAGAGCTGGGCAATATGGTGACACATTGGATGGGCTTCTCTCTTCATGGTCCCTATACTGTATGAAGCTTCTGATCCTCAGAGCACAAAGGCATCTAGGTGATTTTGCATCTGTTTGAAACAGGTTTTATGTATGTACTTTTAATTCTCTCAGGGTTTAATTGTATTTTAATGCTTGAATTTTCTGTTTTTAGCAGTATTTGTTTTCATCTGTAAGCTGCCTTGAGTCTCCTCAGGGAAAAATGGGGTATAAATGAAGATGTTATAATTTTAGAATAATGTAAGAACTCTGGTGCTCTGTCTCCACTAGGTGGGCAGTCTGTGCACAGGAGGCAGCCAGTAGTGTGTGTGTGTGTGTGTGTGTGTGTGTGTGTGTGTGTGTGTGGTTTGTTTCCATTTCTCACAGGGAAGCAGAGGAAGGTAGTAGGTAAAAGAATTTGCAAAGTTACATTAGGTATTGAAAAAAGGATGTGCTTGATCTGCCCGGGTGCTACAGTTAATGCTGTCTCTATGACAGGATGATGAAATGTTCCGAGGGAACAGGTTGCCTTGTGGTATGATTTCTCAGAATGGAAAGCGGTTGCACATAATTAGCGTCAAGCCATCCACAATGTGGTTTGGAGAGAGGACAAGGAAAACAAATGTAATAGTGAGGCAAGTACTCTTTTCAATTATTTTTTTTTTTTTAATTCTCGAGCAGTCCAGAGCATGGAGCAGCTACTCTGCCAGACCCCATTCAAGGTGTTGCTGCCAGTAAATAAAGCACTAAATGACCTAATTGTGAATGCAAGAGACAGCTTTCTCCCTTCCAGAGGAGATCAGGCAGTCCCAGCCCACGCTCAAGTGAAACTCGAGGGCACTTTTATTTGGGAGAAGATGGGTACATTTAGGTGCTGCAGTTTTTGTCACTTTGATTATTGCATATAGTTTCCTTGGATTTTATGTTAATAGCTGCCCTGGCACACATGGCAGAATATAGATAAATACAGGTATCTTTATGTAGGTCTCAGCATGACTCTGCAACTGAAAAAGGTCCCTATAGGGTCTTGCAGTGATGAGTAATAAGGTGGTCCCTGCCCTCTGACACGATCTAAAACACATGACACAAAACGAAAGTGGGGGAAGAACCAGCCTTGGGCTACTAGTTTTAAAGTCCTTCTCGAGTGTTTTCGCTGCCCTTAAAGGCTTGCAGGAACAAGGTGCTCCTTCTCTGGCCTGTGGGTGGGGCTTGGCTGGCCTCCCACTTTCCGTGATATTCTTCCAGGAAGGCAGGATATCAGTTTTTATATGTGATCTGCTTTTTATTAAGGTGCTGATGCTGTTCACATATTGATAATTTAATTTCTGGTTTCTGCTTAGGACTGGGGAGAGTTCATACAGAGCTTGCTTTTCCTTCCACTCTTCTTACAGCGAGGTATGTATAGTATTTGTTTTGTAAAATGAACCCCTTTTACAATATACAGAGCAGCCTTTACAAGATTTTATATTTAGATTTTGTAGCCTTTATAGGATGCATTTTGGGGGTTAGTAAAAGTACAATAATGATTATTCTTCATCTTTATGAAGCACATCGAAGCCGCTATATGTTATCTTGGTAATCCTGATAACATCCCTTTGAGGTCAGCAGGTATTTTCTCTATTTTATAGGCAAGGACTGAGGTTGAGGAGGGTGTAACATGCCTAGGGAAACACCTCTTTCCTCTCATAGCTGACAGGAGACTTGAACCAGAAACTTTGTAGCTTGCTGTCTTCGACTCAGCCCTGAAGCTCCACAGCCTGAAATAGGCAAAGGGAGCCAAGCATTAATAAACGTCCATGGATTTCACATGCCCCCTGAATGGCTGATTGTTTTCTGACGCTTGCTGCGTGAGAAGGCGGCAGCACCTGCCTCCTGGTAGGAATGTCCACAATAGCAGGTGCTGATTCAGAGTGTGTTGTCCATCACATTTGGAGTCTGCCCGTCATCCAAGGATTCCTGCTTCATTTAAGCCCCTTAATGACCTACCGGCTTCACCCCACTGAAGTGGAACTTGAGAGATAAAAAGTGGCAACCTTAAATGGATGCATATGTCAGAGAGAAAAGCTACAGATGTCTGAGCAAAGGGGTCCTCATGCCTGCTGGGGCCATTCTACAAGCACAGCAGTCTCGTGCGCAAATCAGAATGCTGATGGAGCTTTGACTGGAGATGATGACGTGGTGAGACACAGTGCCAGCGTGGTGCAGGGGGCAGAATTGGAACTGGAGTCATTTACCATGTCGGCTGTGAGAGTTTTTCGCTCTCAGCCTCATTTCTTTGTAAAAAGAAAAAAAAGCCTCTCAAAGCAATGGCAAATCACAGCAAAAAAAGGACTGCAAGCCAGGTTTAAATGCAGAAATTAATTCCTCCTCGAATCCTATTTTGTAGATTCAGGATTTCTTGAGCTACATTCGCCCGGTGAATGTGTATCCCAATGTAATTCCAGTAGGTGTGACAGAAGACAAACTTATGGAAATGTAAGTTTCTGTCTTTTTCTCTGGCTGTTTGCTGCAAAGATGTTTTCTAACTAGTGTTGAAAATGACACTGCCTTGTATGACTTATTTATCTGTTATGCCCACTGAAACTGCTCAATTGAGAAAGCTTTATTCCTTGTAGTAATTTTCCATCTCTGCTCTGCATAGTAAAACAACATGCTGTCATTGTCCATATTCACAAGTGAAAGCCATCTTCATTATGAAAGCAGCATCCTGTTTCTGCTGTCTAGTAACATCAGGGAGAGGAGCTTAGGCTCTAGATAAAGAAGTATGTTTAAATCGGTTTTATATAGATCTATTTTTATGACACAACCATACTTTTAGGGAAGTAATTTACAGTAGTAATTCATTTATCTTGGGCCTGGGCTGGGCATTCCCCCCCTTCCATAATTATAATAAGTCTGGCAAAGTACTTCTGGTTATCTTAGCAGGGTTGTTGGTTGTTTTTTCATTGAACACCTGAATTTTTGTAAAGTTCAGTGTAGTATGCAAGTGATCTGAATTTGCTGAAAATTAAAGAGGAACTAATGAATGTTTCAGAAGTCTAAAGAGCTACAAAATTCTGTATTGCTTCTTCTCAGTTTAAAGCCATTATGTACATCATACAACAAAAATAACGAGCTGAAATATAAACCACTTGGAGCACTGAAGAGAGCCAAACCCTCAGAAATAACAGACACAGGTAAGAGAAAGGCAAGTTTTTCTCTTCCGTGTCAGATGGAGATGGCAAAGGAAAGGACTCCTGTGGTTTTGAAGCAGTAAATCATGTTTATTGCATGATTATGTCATCTCTCTAATGAACTTACTACATTTTTAAATTTCACTTGCATCTCACCCTTCTAACCAACTCAACACGGCATTCATAGTTGCTGTCCACCCTCCAGCTTACATTTCCAACACGCCTGTGGGACTTAGCTTACACTAAGTGAACATGACTAACTTCAGGTCGCCCAGTAAACTTCGTAGCTTTAAGCAGGGATTTTGCTCAGGGTTCCCAAGTCCTAGTCTGACATTCTCCACCTGTACCCTATCTCCCAAGTATCACAGTGGCTCCCAGCGAGTTGTCACCCTGGTTAGCTTGGAGTCCAACAGTCCAGACATTGGTTTACAGCCTCATAGGCTGCTCAGCTGATTCAAGCATGCAACAGAATCCTGGACTGTGCCCGTTCTGATGAGGGAATTGTAGACAAAAGCACACCAATGGTAAATCTCTCTGCATGTAGAAAATAGCTGGGAGAAGTTAGGCAACCTGTTCCTTCATGTTGTGGTTTAGAAGGCCCCTCCCCCCAAATGCTTGGAAGTTTTATAATCCAGGGAAAGGTGTCTTATGATGGTAAGGCATTTGGAGATTGGCTTCAAGTCATCTTACTACCTTCTCATGTTCCTGGTTTTTTTGTCTTGACAGATGGTGGGAGTGATGATCTCTTTGATACAGAATTGATTCCTATAAGATACAAGATTCCAAAACTTCTCCCAGAAATGACAGCATCTGAAAATAGGCCCCTTCCTGATAACCATCAAGATGACAGCGACAAAACAAGTTATAGGGCAACTTCCATGCCAGCCCCTTTGAAGGTAGATTTCATAGAGTGTGAGGAATCCAACGGTGAGGATGACGATGAGGAGGAAGAGTTGGAGAAAGACATGGTTCTAGATGAACTTCTGCCACCCAGTGCAGAGTCTGCCACTGTCTTGCCAAATCCAGGATTGGTCTGTTCAGAGCCCACTTGCAAACAAAACGAGGACCCGGAAGTGCCCAAGTGGGATGCCTACTTTAAGCGACACGTAGAAGACACAGATGCCTCTGAACACGAGGACTATGCTCCAGCTCCCACAGATTCTAGTGAGCCTCAGTCTCCCAACCTGTTCAGCGATAATGAGGATTTTAGTGATTCTACCCACATCTCCTCCCAAAACTCTTCTCAGTCAACGCACATATCTGAACAAGGTAGCCAAGGGTGGGACAGTCAGGCGGATACTGTGCTCATTTCCCCACAAGAGCGAAAGACTGAGTCCACCCCTTTAAAGAGAGGAGCAGAGCGAGCAATGCTTTACGCATCTTGTTTTCCTGCTGGGGAAAACCGAACAGACATGCAGAGTTGCAAGGCTTTGGCTCACAGTGCACCTTCTACAAACAGTATTAAGTCGGATCGCCAAGGCAGAGCTCAGGAGGCAAGTGCAGCAGCAGCAGCAGCACCTACTCTGATGCCAAGTGTGCAGGCTGAATCAACTCCGGAGAGGAGCAAACAAGGGAGTTCAGGGCTGCTCAAGCCTGAGGACCAGCTAGAGTCTCAGAGCTCTTCTGACTTTGAAATCCCCTCTACCCCCGAGACAGAGGTTCCTAAACCAGACCAGCTATGCAGCCCGTACAAGAAGCTCGCAGCAGGGGAAAGTCTGCTCTGATCAGGTAGCAAAAAGAGCTATCAACTTTTTTCTGTCACGAATGAATGAATGACGTGATTCCTCAAATCATGTATTTTGACAGTTGACCATGTGCCACTTGAATTTTTGCTTTTGTAATTTCTAATTTTTATACTGAAAATGCAAACTATGATTCTGTTTTTATAGGAAGTTGCTTCATTCACACTGAGAGAACCTGGAAATCTAACTGAACCATTTGCACTCTGAATTTTAGGGTTCAACAATAGAAGTAAGATTTGATAATATGACCTTGGCAATCCTTTTGGAAACCATGGCTTTAAAGTCTGCTTGGATTTTAGTTTCTCTTTTCTGTGATCATTCTTACACTTTAATACCACTAAAACTTTCGATAACCCACACAATGTTTTCTACTCTTCCTAGTCTTTTTTACCAGCAGAACAAAGCTGCCATTATTTAAAATTCTCCCTTTTCCTTAAGGTCTGTTAATCTGTTCTTTGCTTCAAATATTAGTCCAAAACCAGTAGCACCTTCATATACATTCTACTGCTTTGGGGCCAACCTGTGTTCACAAAGGACACTACCGTACCATTTTGAAAATAAAAACTATAGCCCAATTGGGAGGCAAGAAAATATTTAACAAAAATAGGCAAAGACTGGTTGCTGTAACAGTGAGTCTAGTGTTCAGGTCATGGGTTTGACACAATCAGCAACTTTCCTCCTTTCTCACTTATCTTCCCAAATAATTGCTCAGATGTTTACTAGCCAAAACTAGCTGGGCTTGAAACAACCTCTGGCATTCAGAGGAGTCCTAGAGGGTTGTGAGTGGAGGAACCATCCAGGCGTGAAGGGTGCCTCTTGGACACAAGAAGTGGAGCCCGTCTTGATTATTTCCATCGTTATGTTACGATATAGAAGCAATGCAGCTGCGAGCTGCTAGCTTGAAAACATCACATGATGGAATGTTGGGACTGTTCCGTGGGAAACAGAGGGACAGTCAATTCACAGTGCGAAGCACCGGAATTAGCTCAGAGTGTAATATGAGCTCTTCCTTTTGTTCCTGTACAGGAAGTACAGGAAGTGTTTGTCACTCGACTGCTGGAGATTGAAGAGAGCAGTCACGTTTTTTTGTAACGCTGCAAAGACAGAAATAAAGGCATGTAAATACGTTTCTGTCTATCTCTTTCCCCTGCTGGGGGGGCAGGAAAGAGGGGGGGGTGTTCTCACGCTGAGAAGAATCGCCTATCGTGACCTAGCCTGAATCTTGCTGGGGAATGCAGACAGGGAGGTCAACAGGAAATCAAGCTGGGTGCCTGGAGAGTTGCCAGTTACAACTGATATAGGCTTGAATTCTGACACGTTTAAGGTATATGTTGGGTTTTAGGAACTCTTGTTTACTCTCACCCCTTATCTGTCAGTTGCTGTGTATAAAACTCTAGCTCCCCATGAAATATTTTCTGCAGCTCATTGATGAACGCACAACTGTTACCAGCTTCCTCTTAAGACTGTAATGACCCAACTTTTCCATTTTCCAAAGATGTATGCAGACTCCATCTTTTCATTGTATTATATTTATTGTATTGTACACATGGCATCACTCACTTAAAACCTGGTTTGAGGTAACAATTAAAAAAACGGAACCTTCTAAATTAAGACTACGATGCCACTTCTACAGTAATGGCTTCACATTTTCCGGTATCTTGATCTGTACAGGAAACGTGCAGTGATCCATCCCTAAGAAAAGAGAGATTTTTATAGTGTGAACCTCTGGAGACTAATTGCACCCTGAGAGGGGCTGAATAGGTCTCAAAAACTAAGCTCCCACGTTGGATGTCCCCATCATTCCTCCGTGGAATTCTTTGATTCAGCTGACAGGTGTGGGGAGTCCCATTACCCAGAAAACATGCTCTCCTTTGTGGGGAACCTGTGGCTTTCCAGCTGTTGGGATTCCCAGCATTCACTAGCCACGGGGAGCATGGCCAGCACTCAGGAAAGAAGAGAGGTGCGATCCAGCAACATCCCCATCCCTCTCTTAACTGAAAAGGAAAGGGGCAGCAGAAGGGAATGTTAACCAGAGCACCCCACAGTTCAAAGAACGCTTGCCCACTGATCTGGGAAAGAAAAAGCATCCCTGATATTCCAGAAGTTGATTTGATCCACAGTTCTACCCTAATACATCAACTCCTGATAGGTGGAATTTCTGCAGTACCTTGAAAATTAAGGTAAAGGTAAAGGGACTATTAGGTCCAGGCGTGACCAACTCTGGGGTTGCAGCTCTCATCTCGCTTTATTGGCCGAGGGAGCCGGCGTACAGCTTCCGGGTCATGTGGCCAGCATGACTAAGCCGCTTCTGGCGAACCAGAGCAGCGCATGGAAACACCGTTTAGCTTCCCGCTGGAGCGGTACCTATTTATCTACTTGCACTTTGATGTGCTTTCGAACTGCTAGGTTGGTAGGAGCAGGGACCGAGCAACGGGAGCTCACCCCGTCGCGGGGATTCGAACCGCCAACCTTCTGATTGGCAAGTCCTAGGCTCTGTGGTTTAACCCACAGCGCCACCTTGAAAAGTAGATACTACCAAAAAGCTGCAACAGAAAAACCCGAGTTCTGAAAGATGGACATTTCACATGTACTTGATATGCTGAACCAAAGTTGTAGTATTTTGGTTTTCAGTACCTTTTCATTGTGAGAACAGTTAAGATATCATGCAGACCACCTTCCTTTATATCTAAATCCTGGAGGACAATCTGCTTAAAACAAAACAAAACATTAAGATCCTTTGTCATCTGCATCTTATCTATTCTAGCAATTTTAACTGTCAAAACCAAAGAAATGCAAGTGAGATTATATCAAAAGCACTTTGATTTAAACCATTTGTTCTACATTGCCATATACAAAAGCTAAAATATAAAATATTGAGCTACAAAGTTTCAAGGTAATTTCAGGAAAATGGTTTTCTAAGGCAGACAAAGCATGCTCTGAAAAAACTAGTGAATCAATTTGTAAGGCTAAAGGGAGTAATAAATTAGCATGTATTTCAACACAGGTGAGCAACTTGCAGCCCCTATTGTTTACAATTTTAATTTAGATTAACCAAGTTACTTGATAGTTTTTATCTGCTTTAAATGTTTTTTAAAATGGTTTTTGTGCACCCACCCTGCTCTAAAAATACCGTAGATGTGTTTACAACATTTTATAAGCTAAGGAATTTAAGAGGCAAAAGCTTCAAATGCCTAATGAACATACAAATAAGATTTGTGACAGTGAAGTATGCTTTTGAGTAAACACTGGGGAAAACAAGCGTTATTTTCTATTTATATTTCTTCACCTGTGCAAATCTGTTGTCCTCTTTTATGGGGATCTTTTCCAGAGACTCGTATAATTCTAGGCAGACAGAGGAGTTGCTTCCTGGGGCTTGTAGAGTATGCTGCCTTCGAGCTGGCAAAGGGGTTCCTGATGGGAAGACCACCACAAATTTATCAGCCCCTGACTGATCCATTGCCTAAGAAATAAGAGAGATGAAGTTGGGTATATTAAACTTAGAGCAATCAATAGACAAGGAGGATGAATTTTATGCCTATTCCATGTTAAGAGACAAATATGAATTACTTTTAAATGCTCAAGGGTACTATCTTCAGATAAAGCACATGCTAACTGCCATTAACGGACCAGCCGCTTTTACAGCTGCAGACACCCCAGATATATTAAAACAGCTGATTAACTCTTATGTAACAACACACACACCCATTTCCTTATATAGGAAGAATGGTATAAGGAACTGGAGATTCTCGACCAAACAATGGGAAACTATGTTAAGTTCTATAACAAGCATGCCTCTGGACCTCAAATTCAGTCTCATACAGAAAAAAAAATAATAATTTAGGACTCCATTGCGCTCATTTATGAAAGGACTAAGACATTGAGCTGCTGGAGATAATGCTTCTCTAAAACACAGGTTTGTACAATGTCCTATATTGATAAATTTTTGGCAGAAGGTAATAGAGATGATCAACATGACTGTACGGAATAATCATAAATTTGCAGAGGAAAATATCCTTTTGAATTATATACCCAAAACACATGGAATCTAACAAAGGGAGAATATGAATGGACTATCTCTGTCCTCATTACAGCAAAAAGACAGGTATTAATGAACTGGAAAAATAAATAAGTGGCTTATTTTCATGCCTGAAGATATGAACAAACTGTGTGCAAACACGGCCAAATTTAACAGTATTTGGAATTATTTTTTGTAAATAGCGTATTAAGTTAAAGTCTGGTTAACTACAATAAAAAAATCATTTTTTTGTAATGTATATAATGTTTTGTTGTTCTGTTGTTTTCTGCAAAGCTACTATTTCTTTTTTCTTCTTTTTTGTCATATCTTACTCTCTGTACATGTAATTATGTACTTTTTGTTTTCCAAAAAAGAATATAAAGTAAAGAAATAAGAGAGATGCAACATACCGTATTTTTCGTCCCATAGGACGCACCTAGTTTTTTGGGGGGGAAATAAAGGAAATTTTTCCCCCTTTATTTCCCCCCCCCAACCAGGTCGGGGAACAGCGGGATGGCGGCGCTGCGCCTCCCCGCTGTCCCCCGAGCTTGTGGGGCTGGCCGATGTCTGCCCGAAGCACGGGGTGCTCTGCTTCAGCGTGCCCCGCGCTCTGTGCAGCAGGCTGCTATCCGCAGCCTAGGGAGCCCTGTGGGAACTCCCTCAGGGCTCCCCACGCTGCGGATATCTGCCCAGCGCGAGGGGCGCTCTGCTTCAGGGCGCCCGCGCGCCGGACAGCAGGCTGCTATTCCGCAGCCTAGGGAGCCCTGCAAGAACTCCCGCAGGGCTCCCCACGCTGTGGATGTCTGCCCGGCGCGCGGGTCACTCCGCTTTAGGGCGCCCTGCGCGCCGGGCGGCAGGCTGCTATCCGCAGCCTAGGGAGCCCTGTGGAAACTCCCGCAGGGCTCCCCAGGCTTGCTGATAGCTTCCTGAAGCCTGGAGAGCGAGAGGGGGTCGGTGTGCACCGACCCCTCTCGCTCTCCAAGCTTCAGCGAAAGCCTGTATTCGCCCCATAGGACGCACACAGATTTCCCCTTCATTTTTGGAGGGGAAAAAGTGCGTCCTATAGGGCGAAAAATACGGTAAGCACTCTGCAGAAAGGACCCCAGATCTTAAGGCACCACAATGTGTTACAGCACGTGCACTGCGACGACAGACAGGAAAACATTACAGCACAAACAGTGACCCCTGAGTAAAAAGGAGGGGAGATTTTAAATATGATTCTGTATTGATTCATGCTACTAGTCAAATCCTATGAGTGTTGAAATAATTTATGGATCAGATATGAAGGTGAAATGGGTGGCCAAATTAATTTTTTTTAATGAATTGGATTTATTTGATAGACTCCTAATTAAATTTTAAAATATGAAAGTTTACTATTTATGTTGGCGTGTTAAGATGACCTGTCAATTCTGGAATCTTAGGGAATCCTATTCAAATACTTAGTCCTTCAATTAAAAACACAGAGTTCTGAATGGCAAATATATTAACTGTGCATCAATATGAAATAACGAGTTTCAGTCTCTCACTTATTTACTTTAATTGCTACTTAAGTGACCCCAAATCTCTTTCAGGAAAGTTTTCACATTAAAACCTAAACCCACAAAGGTAGCAGTGGTGGAAGATAATTAATACAGATTAGGGAGGGAGCTCTCTTTCTAATTCTAAGCAAGAGATATAAAGACATTCATTCATTTAATTTGCTTGCTTACCTTGACTAAGATATCTTTGGCAGAACATTCAATAGGCAGTATCTCATCATCTAAAAATGTATTTTCTCTTCCTAGCAAGATCCCAGCTTCCATGGCAGCCCCAATGGGAATGACCTCATCTGGAGGAATAGAGTTCAGCAATTCAACACTAGGGAAAAGTTCTTTGATCAACTGCTGCAGTTTTGGGATGCGAGACGATCCGCCACAGAGAACTACCTAGAGGACATTAAAGCATTAATAGGACAACAGCAAAGATGGACCGGTTAGGCTTTTCAAAGGGTACTTGTGTATGCAAACTTTGCAAACACGCAAACACACACACACACAGAAAGTGGGGGGAAACAGATGTCCAGACTTATTATCCTGGCTTGTTAATTGGCATTAAGTTATAGTCCCCCACCCCCGCTGCACAACCACTCAGATGTAATGGAGAGCAGTGGCTTCAGGAATTAAGCTGTGAAGCAGCACCTGAGAGGAGGGGAGCAGCTAGAGAGTAGCGCTGGGTGATACCTGGGTTTCAACCAGATATATCACCAGCTAAACATCGCAATATACTGATATTTCACGATGTCTGAAATAAGGATGCACTGGATGCACTATAGAGGCACTGGATGGCTTCACAATTTTTTCCTGCATGGTGATTTTTGCATTGCACGCACGCACACATCATGATTTGAGATATATTGCCAGGTCAAAAATTCTGAAACCATTACCATGATATGGACTTGAAACTGGTTTTAGATGGTATATCATCCAGCCCTAACACACTTCATGATTCAAGATATATATTGCCAGGGCAAAAACTATGAAACCGGTATCACAATACAGACTTGAAACCGGTTTTGGACGAGATACTGATATATTGCCCAGCCCTACTAGGGAGGAATACTTGTCCCTGATTTCATTTCCAGTTTAATAAAGCATGGTTTGTGAAGCCTTGAACAATAGTCCAAACCATCCGAATGCATCTGCTTCTTTGTGAATATACTCTTATGTATTTCCTACATATTTGTCAAAACAAGAATTTCAAGAATGACTTCAAAATAGACCAAGTTATTTGTATTGTTACCTTATTGATATCATCTGCTGTAAGTCCAACTTGCTTCAAGAGCTTTTTGATGGCTTCTAGGCATTTGTTAAAAAGTGCAGAGCAAATAAGTTCAAATCTGGCCCTGCGTTGTTAAAAAAAACAAGCACATTCATATCCATATTTTCCACAGGGAAACGTTTGCAGAGAAACCCAATACAGTAGTATAATATTAAACATGGAGCTGCCCTCAGTTTCTGATGGCTCAGAAACTTCAGCTGCTCCAAAATGAAGCAGCCAGAAGAGTGAGTGGCTGGGTTTCCATTTAGAACTCGCACAACGCCAGCTTCAAAAGAGCTGAACGCGCTTGCCAGTTTGCTTCTGAGCCCAATGCTCACATTGGTGTTTAAAGCCCTGAATAACTTAGGCCCGATACCAGAAAAAGCAGCCTCTTCCCTACAGATCCTCTTGGGTGTTCAGATCAGTGGACGGGGCCCTCTTAGGTGTCCCACTACCCTAAGAAATCCTGGGTGGCGTGGGAGGCTAGAAGAGGGGAATCTTTGTGGCAGCCCTTAAACTGTGAGATTCCTTCTGGCACCTTCAATGTACCTCTTTACTCCAACTTCATATACTGTCATATGTTTTAACCAATTTTAATATTTTCTTTTTAAACGGTTGTAACCCACCTCCCTGGGACCTCATGGGGAAGGGAGAGTAAGAAATCTAATAAATAATAATAATTTTCTTGCCCATGAAAAGGAAAACAGTTGCCATTTTATAAATACATTCCATATGGAGAGTAGCCAACTATCACGATCATTACCTTACGTGGGGGTTACATCCTGGAGATCATGCATAAAGCAAAAATCTCCTATTGTCAACATCCCCTTTCCCTGCACTCTCCCAAGCTGAGTGTATTGGTAGTTAGGATTGCCAACATCCGCCCCCCTCCGGAAGCTGCTCCTATTTTTAATTTTATTTTTCTGCCAAGCATCTAAAGCTAAATTCACACTAGTTAAATTTAAAGGATGTCATGGAAAACAATGCTACACATGCAGAGATTCAAGAGTATATCTTACCTAGACACATTACAGTCAAAATCCAGCCCATCGTACAGGGAGTCAACGAAGCAGTTGGCACTTCCGAGTGTCGACAGTGAATGCTTTGCCACCTCAGCACTGTTCATGAGCTTCATCATGGCCCTGGAGTTTCCCCTCACATCATATTTATAAGATCTACAGGGTTGTTGTTGTTGTTTTACAAAAAAAGTATTATTAACCATTACAGAGAACCTACTCAGTAATAGTGGCCATCATTTACCCTAGAAGTTAGGGGGGAAAGGTGGATCCTGAAATTTATCATGTTTTTCAAATTAAAGTATAAACATTATATGCATCTACTCTTGAAAGCTGGGGATGTATGGTTACTGAAAGAGGGGAGGTTCTTTTGAGTAAGTATTCATGAAGCACAAATGCAAACATTGAGGCTCTGACATCTTAGTGTTGTGCTTAACTCTCATGTTGAAATCAACAGAATTTGGAAATGCTTAACTTTGGCTATATCTACCCCAACTTTCCCATGCTGCTTGTAAGTGATATCTATCAGGATCCTTCAAGAATGTAAGCATGAAACAAAGGATCTAACAGCCTTGCAAGTCCACAAAAGTCACTAGCCCTAATAATAATAATAATAAAAATACTAGGCTGCTTGCCCTCTCATAGTTACATTAGTCATTTGTGGCCTGAAAAGAAAAAATGGGGAGAAAACCATTGTTTGCAAAGCTTCCATCTAGTTGCCTGGAGACAATTCTTACTCACCTCAGACAACCTGGTAAATAGCTCTTTACAAGATTGGGATTATTTGCAAATTGAACTAAGAACCGATGTCAAATTTACAGTAACAACCTTTCCCCAAAACATTATGTGAATGTACTGTTTGTCTTATTTCAACAGCGTAGACCTTTAGAAGTTGTATTTTTTTAAAAAAAACCTCATTTTTATTTCCAGAAGTTTTCATTTTGAGAGAATGTTTTATTATTTTTAAACTGTAATTGTTTTAAAAATCCTGTTATATATGTTGTGGGCCCCCAAGTGATATTTTTGCACCCAGAGGGTGGATAGAAATGTTTTTCATAAATAAATGCATTGTATATCAGTCAAAAAAATCTGTTACAAAATGTGCTGGCAATTTTCCATACTGCGAAATTAACAGCAATGATTCCTTACTACACATTTATAAAACACCACATACTATTTAGGATCTAGAGAACTTACCTTTGAAACTCAGATGCTAAATGTTGTGCTAAGGCTTCTGTGAAACAAATGCCACCTATACTATCATCTGTGTTTGTGGAAATAACACGATAAAGTCCACTGTTGACTTCAATAACCGTGATAGAAAGGGATGTTCCTCCAAGCTTGTACACCAGCACATTGCTTCCATGCACACAAAATAAAGAAAAGGAAATCAGTATGCCTTGCCTCATTAGCATCAATACTAAAAGCCTTAATAGCAGATTCTCAGGCCAATGACGACTGTGTCTCAAAATGACCTCCTGGTATCAGTGCCACTGCTGCACTCCATGGGGCAGAAGCGAGGTCAGGGAGGTTCTCCTCCTAGTGCTCTCTCACTTAACACTGCCCTGGCCCACCCTGAAATGAAGTCCATTTAAATTACAGTATTAAAGACTGGTTAAAGTATAATGCTTTGGTTTCCTGCCTTTGCCACTTGTTTAGAATCTCCCGAATTAAAAAATAATAATGTTGCAAAGGACTTGGATTTTCTTATTTACAGCAGTCTAGGATCCCTCTGGCTCAGATTCAGCAGAGAATTCTGCTCCATGAACTGAATATTTCTGAGGAGAGCAGCTCCTAATACTCCCTTCCCATGCTGTTCTAGAGGGTTCCCCAGCCTTCTAAAGCAGATTTTCAGCTGCACAAGGACCTACAGAGGGAAGGAGACCATCAAAAATTCCCTTCTGCCCAGTGAAGCATTAAGTTCACAAAGGTCCATACCACACAACCCTAGAGCCAACTCACTTTGCAGCATACTGTTTAAAACCAAGGCTGTAATCCTGAAACTAGGATTAAGTCCTATTGAGTTTTATATCTGTGTAAGCATACTTGGGATTGCACAGGGGAAATGGTTGCTTAAAGACCAATTGTCACCTTTTTCCACTAGGTGAATCTTGCCCAATTCCATAAGCCAGCAGAGCTGCAGATGGTTCATGAATTAACCGAAGAACATTAAGCCCAGCTGCGGTAGCAGCTTCTCTGCAATAAAGACATAATTTATATTAGTACGTCACTTTAGATTGATGCCTTCTTTCAACATAAAACAGCAAAGTACCTTATTTTGGTATAGCTGGACCCTATCCCTGCATCACCACCACAAACACCTTACAAAACATTGCCAAACTGCTACAAGACATACAGTAAGCATGCCAAGAGACATTTTACTTAAGCACAGATAGGCACATTGTGGTAGGAGAATAAGCTGCCTACCTATGTTTGTTCATGCAAATTGAACTTGAAGCTCAAAAAAGTACAGGAAATGTGCACCTGTTTCTCTTTGGAGACCTTGGTGACTATGCAGTTAGCAATGTCTGAACACAAGGAATGGGAGGATGCATGAGAGTCAGGGCCAGGCCTGACATGCAATAGGGTAAAGTGATCAGGCGGCATCAAGAAACAGGTGGAGGCACAAATGAGTGCTTCTCTGACGCAGCAAGACTTTTTAACTGTTAGCCCTAAATCTGCTACAAATAACAAAATGCCTTCAGCTGGCATGTCTGAGCCCTTTCCTATTTTATACAGTGCTCTGCACTGAATGGTCCACTCCTAATGCAGAATGTGCACCATGGCAAGAAGAAAGGAATAGGGGCATCCAACTGGAAGTCAAGATGCATGCTAGTCCTGGTGAGTGAAAATTGGCCAGGAAAGATGAGGCCACTGCTGGTAAAGGTTTTCAGTTCCTCCTCGTGAAAAACCAGGGTGCTTGGTAGTCGCAAATCTGTGACTATCTGGCCTCTGCTCAAGATACCAGCTTCCATGGAAGACTGACCTACAACAATGTCCCATAAGCTGGCTATTTAAGAACTACCCGTATGGCAGCTATAAGCTCATGTGGTTGTCTATCATGTGGCTACAAAGTGAGCCAAAAGTTATCACAGACCCGCCACTCAATTTCTGAGTAGTTTTAACAGTCCATTTACTGTGTGGTAGGAACCTGAATATTGTTTTCTCTCCATGGTGCCAGAACCTCTAAGCAGGAAGTTCTTAAACAATTACAACAAGTGATGCTATTTCACTGAAAGAGTCCAATTAGATGAGAATTGAGCTACTCCAGGTTAACACCATGTGCTTATGGTTGAGCTGATGTTGAACCCAGATCTTCCAAGTCCAAATATGTCCAAATGCCTCCTGTCCAGACATCTCAAATTCCCACAAATACATTTAATAAAAATAAGCTGAAAACTGTATTCTCACCCAAGGGCATTCTTCTGTTTGTCTCCGAAGTCAAAAGGTACCGTAATCACAGTGTCATTAACATCTGAGCCCAAAGCAGACTGAGCAGTTTCTAATACAAAAATATATTATATTGTGAGTACAAGCAAATTCAATTTACAGGTATATGCACCACTTTTCTTCTGGGGAAATAGTTTAAAAATGTACATTTTAATATCATACCTTTCATTTTACTGAAGATAAGCTTTGCAACATCTTCTGGGGAAACAAGTTTGCCATCTATTTCATAGTTTAGTTTTCCATTCTTTTCAATGACCTACAAATGAACATACAAATATGACTCTCTCTCAGCTTATCTGTTATAAAAGATTCTGCAAGATTCCTTTCGTCTGATAAATGATTTAGAAAGCAAACATTACACACACATCCAAGGTCTGCTCCCAAGGGGTGGTGACACTCCAGAACAAATGGGGAGGGGAAGAAGGAGGAGTCCACTAGCATTGCACTGTATCCCTCCAGCAGGCACAAGAGTAATCTTCGGTAAATAATCTGCTGAATTGCAGATATATTGGTTCAGTAGTTTTTGTGCTAGGTTCCTGTGCTAAGCTAATTGGGGATGGGGTGGAAGAGAACTCAATGAAAGTTGCTTGCCTCCTCCAAAGGCAATGGGATTGGAGAACTGAGTGAAATCATTCCCTCTAATTACAAGCTTGACCTGTCAGTCACAACAGACCTCTCCTGCTGCTTAACATTATATAACACCACTGGGTGCTGTCATTAGGACATCTGAAACAAATTGTCATCAGTTTGTTGCTTGGCACCCAACTCTATTTCTTTGTGACATTAGAATCAGGTCTGCCTAGGCCAGTGTCTGGACGTATTGCTGGGCTGGATTAGAGTGAATCAACGAACTGAGACTGCACTCGTAACTTCAAGGCTGAATTGCTGCCATGTAACCATGTGGGGCTGCCCTCTTCTCTGGTCTGGAAGCTGCAGCAAGTCAGAAGGGGGTCGCACAGTCTGTGGCTGGGTTTGCCTCCCACCACCATATAATACCAGTACTAAGAGCTGCCCTGGATGTCAATCTGCTACCGGAACAAATTTAAGGTTTCATTTTTACTGTATAAAGCCCTTTTATACAGGTGGTGTTTTTTTTTGAGAACTATTTTATCTGGTTCTGCTTGTTGTATATCACTATGGTATTTGTGCAATGTTTAGCAGTTTATAAATACTACTAATAGTAATGGGAGGAAAACATGAAGTAGCTTCTTACTTACTGAACATTTACTTTCTGCAATGTACTTCTCAGCTTGTGCGTCACCAGAGCTGTCAAAACAAGAAACAAAAAAAAACACACCCCAAAATTTACATTTATATTTTCAGCACATAAGAATTGTGTTTAATGAAGTCCTCCTTAATCTTTAATTGTTCAAAGCTTTGTTTATGTATTTAAGCATGATATCAGAGTTTGGACTTTTTATTTCTTAATAGTAGAAAAAAATTCAAAACAAAACAAAGTTACATTCCAGAATAACTCGCTTTAAATTTTGTTAAATAAAATACATACTGCTTACAAGAGACTTTTAAGCAGCCTGCTTGCATATTTAAGCCTGGTAACAAGGTTTGTACTTACATGCCAGTTTTTATACATTTTTGTTTAACAATCCCATTCTGTCAGATAAACCCACACTAAATCCCAAAATGAAGTTCACTATTACTTTCCGCACCTTCTCCCGAGAATCTGCTTCACTTTCACCACTGTATTTGAAAGATTTCTCACTCTGTTTTGTTTTGCTGCCAGACCAACAACCTGGAAATAATTTTAAAAGATTTGTTCAAAAACAACAAAGGTACCACCACTTTTTCTTCAAATTTATACTGGGGAAAAAGTTACCTCTTCGTTTTCTGAAAATGCAACAACAGCAGGTGTAACCCTATCACCTGCATCATTGGCGACAACATCTGCACGACCATCCTGAAGAATGGAGTAGAATGATTAAGTATAATGCTCATTGACACAGAAATTAAACACAGTAACTCATTACCACTTGGAAACCCCAGAAAATACTATCATTTTTTAATACAGGATCCCTTAATTTTGTTTGTCCAGCAGAGGCTAGATTCTGTTCTTGACGATTACCTTACCACGGAATGCAAAGGGTAAATTTTGTATAAAGACAAATAATGTACAAAGGAAACTCTTGTAAATGGAAGCTTCTATTCCAATATGTACTGGGAATAATATAACAGGATCCTTTTGTTTGTTGATTTGTTTTCCAGCTGCTCTAGATTGATGGCCCACCCCAAACCATAGTTAACAAAGAGTGCTGGACCCACATGTAAGCCATAATTAAAACAAACTAAGCTTCATAAGCCAACAACAATTAAAACAAACTAAGCTTCATAAGCCAACAACAGTTTATAGATTGTTGGCAGTAAATTGGCCATAGTTAAGCTAGCAGGGTTCACAAATACTACTAAACTGTGATTTCATAATATAAGAAACTACAGCTTAGCATTATGTGCAAACCAGGCCAATGCATATATTTATCCAGCAAAGTGTCATTCAAGTAAACTGATGGAAATGCATTTTACAATAAGCACATAAGCTTTCTTTTATTTACGTGAGATGCTCTGCACATGGCCCTCAACAAACACCCATCACAATCCCGATGCACACAAACTCTATGCAAAATAACAGAAGAGACAACTGAAGTGACACAGGCTGTGAACCGCTGTTGCCAGCATCTGTCTGTCTTGAAATACAATGGAGTGTGCCTCTGCCAAAACAAAGCAGATGACCAAGTGAGTCATTTTTTTCTCAAAAAAATATGGTCTATGATGAGTCCACCCACTCAGCAACAGAATGAGATGGCAGAGTCCAGAAGCAGCAGAACAAGGATGTCACATTGCAGGAAAGATGACCTGCAACTTGCAGACTCAAAGGAAGAAGAAGAAGAAGAGGAGGAGTTTGGATTTGATATCCCGCCTTTCACTCCCTTTAAGGAGTCTCAAAGCGGCTAACATTCTCCTTTCCCATCCTCCCCCACCACAAACACTCTGTGAGGTGAGTGGGGCTGAGAGACTTCAGAGAAGTGTGACTGGCCCAAGGTCACCCAGCAGCTGCAGGTGGAGGAGCGGAATAACACACAGCTGGAGCCCATCGGGATGGTATGGCGGAAGGCAGCGAGACAAACAGTGGATGGAGGCAACCCTTGCCTGGTTGTTAACAAGATGGTCAACCCCATACTGCCTGCCAAGGGGAGGGGTGAGGTTGGGGGACAATGTCCCATCTAGCCCAGCATCCTGTTCCCACAGCGGCCCACCACATGTCAATTGTGGGAAACCAGAGAGCAGGACATGAATGAGCTTAAGATCAGTACATCTGGCTGCTAACCAGAAGGTTAGTGGCTGGGTCCACCCAGGGACAGCTGTGGGAAGGATTCCCGCATTGAAGGGGCTGGACTAGATGATCCTCTGAGTCTCCTCCAACTTGACAATTCTATGATCACTTTCTCCCCTCTCCCCATTTCCAGCAACTGGTATTCAGAAGCAGGAGTGTGGGTGGCTCTGTGGTCTTAACCTCTTGGGCTTGCCATTCGGAAGGTTGGTGGTTCAAATCCCTGCAACGGGGTGAGCTCCTATTGCTCTGTCCAACTTCTGGCAACCTAGCCGTTCGGAAGCACACCAGTGCAAGTAGATAAATAGGTGCCACTGCCGCAGGAAGGTAAACGGCGTTTCCGTGCTCTCTAGTTTCAGTCATGGTGTTCCATTGCACCTGAAGCGGTTTAGTCATGCTGGCCACATGACCTGGAAAGCTGTCTGCAGACAAACACTGGCTCCCTTGGCCTGAAAGCGAGATGAGCGCCACAACCCTATACAGTGGAACCTCGGGTTGCGAATGTGATCCGTGCGGGAGGCACGTCCGCAGCCCGCAGCGCTGCGTCTGCACACATCACAATTTGGCGCTTCTGCGCATGCGCTGAAACCTGGAAGTAACCTGTTCTGGTGCGGTGCACAACCCGAAAACGCGTAACCTGAAGTACCACTGTAGTTGCCTTTGACTGGACTTAACCGTCCAGGGGTCCTTTACCTTTACCTCTTCAGAAGCAATTGCTGCCTCCCTTTTGTAGTCAACCCTTTTCTACCTCCACCGCTGCCTCCTGGGGGGCAAGGGCTTCCACGGAGCCCAACCCTTTGGGCCAGAGGGCTGTGGTCTCCTCTTGCAGGGAGGGGTCTTAAGCACAAGGGACCACGGACTCTCTCCTGATTAGGGTGATTAGGATTAATCCAATTTGTATGCTGCCCTTCAACCAAAACAAACCAATAACGTCCCCTCCCACAAACAAATTCAGGAAGACACAAATTTAATAAATAATAACAACGGCAGCAGCAATAACTGTGATTTAAAGGCTTCTGGCTACTCCAACGTCCTCCTCAAACCCCGCTCTAGCCACTCAACGGCACTACCTCGCCCAGGAAACGAAAATTATTATTATTAAAATTACATTTATTTCCCCCTGCCCCCCCTTCGGCCTACACGGAAGAGGGGAGACCCCCCCAACCGGCCGCGCACCTTATAGGCGGCCGCGCACGCGCAGCTGCTGCCCAGGTGGACCCCGATGGCCGCCATGGATCCGCCGTCGCCGGGAGACGTCTTACCCACAGTGCACCTCGAGGCGGGCTGCGTCAGCGCATGCGCGTGCCGCTTCCTCTCCCTCCGCCTCCCGGCGTGCAGCTTTCTTTCCCCGCCCCAACTCAGCTGCAACAGCCAATCAGCAGCCGCGTAAGCCCGGGCCTGCTTCCGTAACCGGAAGAAGCGCGCAGACGGAGGCAGCAAAAGAAAAAAAATTAAAAATCGACGTCTCCGCGTGACGTTCTCGGCGGGCGGGCGGAACTCTCGCGAGATCAGGTGCCGCAGGCGCAGCCATGTTGCGGCCGCCTCGGCCGGGGGGCCTCCCTTGCTGCGTCGCCGTGGCGCTCTGCCTCGGGCTCGCCTCCGCCTCTAGCCCCGCGAGGGGCGCAGAAGCTCCGTGCGAAGGTGAGGGGCTGGGGGGGGAGAGGCTGCGGGGTCACGACCCACGAAATAGGGGCGGGGAGGGACCTCAGAGGAGCGCATGGCAGTCCCGCATGCGCACGTGTGCACGCACATACACGTGAATCTGTACATCCGCCTGTGCTTGGCTCTCCGGAGCTTAAAGGCAAGACCTTCCGCACACGCCGGTACGTGGAAAGAGAGAGGGAGAAGAGACCCGGAATACAGGACGAAACACAGGACGTGGCATTTCGCATTGGAATATGGGACAGACCCACTTTATACGCCACACATAGAGGAAAACACGCAACACACAACCACACATCCGCTTGGTCTGAGGTTTAAATGGCTCCCAGTCAGCCGCCAGTGTGCTGTGTTATGGTACGTGCTTTTGTGTTGTAAAGCCACCCTGTGATCCCCAAGTGAAGGGCAGTTTATTAAATTAAATAAATAAATAATAAAATTAAATAAAGACGCCTGTTTGTGTTTGTTGCAGTTCTTCTAAATGGTGCAAAATTGGAACGTTTGCTTGTTTTGCTAAGCTTGCAGCTGTGGCACAATACTAATTCCCTGCTGTCAATGTTGCTGTTGATGGGACCCCCTCACACAGTGCGATTTACATTTGGGCTGGACCATTTCCCCCTTTTTTGCTGCTTTTTAAATGATAGCTTTTAAGTAGATCTGCATGTCAAAATACAAGATTTGGACAAACTCAGCCCTCCAGCTGTTTTGGGACTACAACTCCCATCATCCCTGACCACTGGTCCTGTAAGCTGACGCCTGATGGGCATTGTAGTCCCAAAACAGCTGGAGGGCCAAGTTTCGCCATCATTGGGTCACAAGCTGATGCTCAGTGCAGAAGTCCCATTTTATTTTATAAAACGTTTATACCACTTGATTGTAAACCTCAGAGGTTTACAAATAGTATATGTGTACGTATATGGGAGGGGATATATGGATTTGTTTTCATTCATGTTTTCATTATGTATTTAGAGTTTTTATTTTGCATTTTTATGCTGTGAATAGCCCTGAGATCTTTGCATGGAAGGCAGAATACAAATTTAATAATAGCAACACACCCTCACTGAGAACTCAGTTATATGTAAGGAACTCTGTTTTGAATGGTTTGAGCCTTCAGAATTGGGTCTTGGTTCAAAATAAGGGTTTTGTGAAACAGGTGATGAAACACCAGCTCCTTATTTGTATTGGCAACCTAAGGGCAGGGGATTAAAAGCACCCCTTTAGCAAGTGTGTTTTCAGAATCAGCGTACATCCACTCAGGAGGGATTGGAGTATCAGAGAAATTCATGACATGCTCTAGAGCCCAGTGTGATGGTCCTCAGGATCTGAACCCATGATCGGCAGTGAAGCAAAAGCACCACAGCATAACCTAAGTGAGCACACTTTCCCTGGGCCTTTAACAATGTCCAAATCTGCTGGATGGGTGCACGGTGCTGCATTAATCAGGGTCCTTCTCAATTGCGGGGGGGATAGCTGTTTCTGCTGTCCTGGAATTGGACCCAGGAAGGGGCTCACTGGTTCACACAGAAGGACTGATTCTTTCCCATTAAAGAACCAGAGAAAGCCAACTACATGATCAAGAGCTGTTGCCTGTGGCGGTCCACGCTATTTGGTATGATAAAACATAGATCACAACTTTCTCACTGCTAGTGCATATAAAGCTACCCTATAGGTAGCAAACTTGTCTGCACAGGCCAGCAACCACTTAGTTTTCAAATCATCTATCGACCTTTTATGAAATTCTGAAACAAAAAGAACCTACCTCTAGAGGAACTGGACAGAAGAATAAGTACTGGATATTTCCAACTGCGTTTTTGTAGTTTCTTCTACAATATGGGAAGTGAACTTCATTTACTGCTGATTTTGATCATTTTTAAATGTTTCTAATTTTTTTTTACTGTCTTTATTGATATCTTTAATATTTATTGTAAACTGGAGGTTTCATTTCAATCAAGTGATAGGTTAATTGTGTCGAATAAATAAACAAAGATGAATTAAATGTTCTCTTTGGCAGTAGTGAGAAAGATTTTTTTATTTTTCATATAAGAGAGAAGATCACCTGTGTGTAAGAGGATCAGTGTGCCTATCCAAGCCCTCTTCCGACAGTGATGTCCATCTATAAGCAAGAGAACCACATTGTTTTTATTTGCCTGTGTAGAGGAGGTGACTTGAAAGGCTTTTGGGGGCAGAAAAGCAGCCTATGAATATAAGTCAATAAAGATTGCTTGTGGGCTTTCTTCACACTGAGTGTAATGTTCGCTGACTCCTTTAGGTCCTATGCCTCCTGACAACTTTCTGGCATTTTCCAGTAGCCATGATGGATCCCACCCAAGAGTCACCAACTGCCCCCCCCACCTTAATGCCAGCCCTGAACAGTAACAGCAGGGCTGTCCTACAACAGGGCCAGGGAACCCCAGGCGCCAAAGGGAAGATTGTTGTACTGGCAACACAAACCCTCCAGCATTCCTCAGGTGAAAGAAAATAGGGACATTTCTCCCCTCCCACCCTCCACCCCCAATTTCTCTCTCGCCCTCTGCAAAGCATGTCCTGTCAGAAGAAGGGTGAGCGCCCAGTGGGGGAGCTGGGTGCTCTGGCACCCGGAGGGGCACACATACCGTGCACCCGGGGGCAGGTGATCCGCCCACGGGGGTGGGGACAAACCACCCACGGGACCTATCTTGGCACAGCAATCCTCCCCGGGGCGGATCTCAGTACGGCTGCGCGATCCCCCCTGGGGGCTGCCCCCTTGCGACTCCCAAGCCTACAGCAAGCGAGGGGAAGGGGGAGAGCCGCAGCAGCCGCTTTGCCGCTCGCTGGGCTTGGGGGAGTCGTGGGCGGGGGGCGCGTGCCGAATGTCACCCCCCTTCAGGATGACACCCGGGGTGCCCGCGCCCCCTTCCTATGCCCCTGTGAGTGCCAACACCACTACGGGGTACAGTACACATACCCTCCACTGTCCTGAGAAAACCCCTTAGTCCCGATTTTATTTTATTCTTCAGAAGATTTACAAAGAGAAAAACACCTAAGAAATAAATTTATAAAGGGGCAGGATTAGACATGGACACACAAAGCATTTTTTGTTTAAAGCAAAACTCCCTGCACTCTGCTCTTCTGCCCCTTTCTTCCCTCCCAGGGCAACCCTGCCCTCGGCCTGCCTCTCAGAGCCAGCATGCCCGGCTGGGCTCCTCTCCTGCCTCCAGCAGCCGCTATGATTGCCCAAGGGAGGAAACTGGCAGCACTGGCCATGGAGAGGCCATGGGATGCTGGCTTGCAGTCGCCACTGCTGCCACCCAGTCGCTCAGGACTAGCACCCGCTCATCCACTGGCAGCGGCAGCACTGGTGGGAGAAATGGGGACATTTCAGGATCAAATCAGAAGCTGGGATGGAAAACAGGGACGCTTGGAGGCTATGGCAGCAACTGTTTTACGCTTGTTCAAGGCACACACGGTTGTGCACACACATCGCTGCAACCTGGAAGTGGCTTACACACACTCTGCCAGCTTGCATGGGGGCCAGGAATGCACACACAAACCCATGCAAATTGTGTGTGCCTGGATTTCTTAGTGTGTGACCTCTTGCTTGCCTTGATGAAGAGATCTGTGAGGGGTGGGGGTTGAAACCTCAGACTTTTGTGTGGTTGCAACATCGCCTACTGAATAAAGATTATTATTTAAATTTATGTTAAAAAAAGGCCTGGGATAGTTCAGCTGGCAGAGCCTGAGACTCTTAATCTCAGAGTTGTGGGTTTGAGGTCCATGGTATTGCAGGGGGTAGGACTAGTTGACCCTCAAGGTCCCTTCCAACTATGATTCTGTGATTCACAACAGAGGCAAAGGCCTGGCCGGGGTGAGGGGATTGGGGAGAAGCCCCAGCCCCACCCCTACCCCAATTTTCCATTTCCCCCCAATTATTTCCAAAAAATATGGGGAAATGTGCCCCCCCCCCCAGTTTCCCCCCTCTCCACCCCTCCAGGCCTTCTCATCTTTAGCCCTGCCCAGCACTTCTGTCTGACTCCTGGAATGCCCCCTGCTGCTGTCCTCAAGGAAAAGGCAAGGGTCTTTCCCTGGGACACAGTGATGAGTAGGGTGCCTAAGTGGAGTCACTGGAAGGCAATAATAAGCATCTTTGCATGGGGCCATTTCCAGATCAGACGTGCATGCGCTGAAAGAATGGCAAGCCATTCTGTGTGAAGTTAGCCATTTTAAAATTTATTTTCAACTTTGTTTATTGTCTGTCTCTTTGACCAAAGCACTCTGGGTGTGTCTGTTATTTTATATTTTACCTTTTTCTTATACAGTGTGTCAAGATTTTTTGAAAAGATTTTATAGTTCTTTAAAAGAAAAGCACTCTGATTTCTCCGTGGCTTCTATTGAGAATGAATTAGTCAGGAGCTGCAGGAACACAAAAGGAAAAGAAAACCGCTTGGTATGACTTCGTACTCTTTTCCCCCTTAGGAATGTTTCCAGTACTTAGGCTGTGTACACACTTTACCGTAAAAGCACATTCATAGCCTGGGAGTTTGCAGTCAAACATAACTATGCATGAGTGCCAGTTAATGCATGAAGGGTAAGACTGCACAGAGTTAGATTCCTAGACTCCACCAGGTCACACACACCCCCTTTGCCAATGAGGGTGGAAGTGGAGCTTTCTCTCCCTGTTCCCCCTCTCTCAGTGCCATGTAACCAACCAAGGAAGACATGCCAGGGCAAGCTCCAAGCTATCTTTCTGTATTTTCTACTCATGAGTATTCTGCCTGTGCTCTTCTTGCTGCTATTTGGATAAATGTGTGAATCTGACCTTTGGAGTGTTTTGTAAGTAAAGCATTTCAAGCTTAAGAGTGTGTGGTCTGTTCATTGCAGGAGGGATAGAGAGAGGGGAGTGCTTTGCAAGAGGACTAAAAGGGATATATAAAAGGTTTTGGCAGCCTACATTCCTATACTTCACTGTCCTGCTTGACTTTGTGAGCCTAAACTAGGGGCTTTCTCTTGCTAGAGAGTTAGTCTAGTCCCACGCTTTGAATCCAGGCACCTGGCTGATTCCTTTGTGATTCACCCCACACAAGTGGGTCACAGGGATTCTATTTTCACACACACAAAGAACATTCTTTTCCTCAAAGAAACTGTAGTTCTCCCCTCACAGAGCTATAGTTCCCAGCAACAAGCTACAGTGCCTAGAATCCTTTGAGGAGCAAAAATGTGCTTTAAAGGTAGAGTGCATGCATGGGAGAGGAGGAAGAGGGATCTCTCTGTATATGTGCTGCCGAAGCGAGCACAAGAGGGATCTCTCTGACTAACAGATTAGTCAGCCGCTTTCCCCCAGGGAAGCAGGACCTTTAGTGATGAATCAGAGCAAACCGCAATTAGGCTTCCCAAAGATTTGCTCAAGTTGTTCCAGATAGTGCTAAAGAGCAGGTTTTCCAGAGGAAAGCAGCAGAGCAAAGGCAGAACCTCTTGGACCCGTGCTTTCTAGGCATGAGGCAAGCGGAAATATGAGTGAGCCCTAACCCTGCACTGGTACTGACAAGATTTCTATTCTTGTAGTGCTACTACATCGGAGCCACAAGTGATGCAGCAACCAAGATAATTGGTGAAGTCAGCCGCCCAATGAGTGCTCACATACCTGTGCCAAAGATCTGTGAGAAGCTGAAGAAAATCGACATTCAAATCTGTGAGCTCAAATACGGTATGAAGAAATCCCTGTGCAAAACAGAGGAGGGCATAGCAAAATAGGCATATTGGAGACAAAGGAGCCCAGGTTGTTCTTCTTCTTTTTTTTAAATGATATTTATTAAAATTTCAAAGAATACAAGAATTACACAAAAACAAAAAGTAAAAATACAAAAAGTAAAAATACAAGAAAATACAGGATACAGAAAAAAGAATAAAAAAACCAAAACAAGGTCATTATTTTCAGACCCTTAACTGTCATTGCCTTCTTTCTTAGACCTCCTCCTCCTCCCTTCCTTTGTATTCTAGTTATTAATTATCCCAGCAAATCCTTTCCTTTCCATGTTTCATAAAATTCTATCATTACATTACCCTAGACTATTTTAATCCTATCTTTCTATAATAAAATAAACCTTAAAGTTTAAAACTTAAGTCTTAACCTTACCAGCTTCTTATAATCATAATATTCTTTCATAATTCTTTATGCATCTTTACTAAAGCCAGGTAATTTCTTCCAACATTTTTCTGTCATTCATCAACTTTGTGAAACATTCTAATAATAAAGAAAGAGAAAAAGAAAGATATAAACAAGTCCAATCTTTATCCAACGTCCCTTCCTCCTGGTTCCGGGATTTGTCAGTCCTTATTCCCATCAGTCTAGCCCGGTAACCTTATGTCCGAGGCCCTCAGGTCACTTCCATGGCCCTTCCGCGGCTCTTCTTCATATTTATAACTGTAATTTCCCTTATCTCCTACTCGTGGTAACTCCAGCTTGACAATGTCTCTTGCTCGTGGTAGCTCCAACTTAATAATGTTTTTAACCCTTCTCGACAGATCAGACCCTTTTCCGTATTCATCGCTGCATTCCATGTAGTATTTAAAAGCATGTTTCAAGGGCCCTCCAAAGTTGAGAGCCCCCACAGTCCCAAGCATTTCGCAGCCCATTACCATATTTAAAAAGTCCAGACATCCCAACATAGGAGGTCAATCCAGCCCCCATTTCCAAACCACACCAAACTTTTCCTTTCCAGATCTGGCTTTTCCAAATTCATTTGTCCAGTCCGAAGGATCATACTCCTGTTGGGTCTGTTCTGTCAAAACACACTCCTGATTTAATACCACAAACTCCTGTTCTATCAAAACACACTCCTGGTTTGAATCCTGAGTGGGCTCCACATGTTTTCCCACAGTCTGGTCAAAACATTCCACTGCCTGTTTAAGATTTCTAGTCGAAATGACCATCCAGTTCACCTTATCGTGTAGTTCTTCCAGTAAAGCATTTGTTTTGTAAAAAGCGCACACCAAGGCTTCTGAATACATTGTCCTGCAAAGTCAAATACTTTCCCACGGTTATTTTGTAACAGCTGTCAATTCCCTGGAGTTAGTTACAGTTTCACAAGCTCCCCCCTTGTGGAGCAAAATGGCCCTAAACTCTGGAGGGGGGAGTCTTACATAGGCCTGACTCCCCTCAACCTCCCATGGGGGCCCAAAGACCCAAGCGAGAATCTGTCCCGTTGACCCCTGCAGAAATAAGATGTGGACGGGACTCGCCTCATTTTCTGGGCAAAACTGCCCCGCCTGGATTGGGCCCAGAAGGGAAAACATGGAATTCACTGCTGCAAGATGCAGTGGTGATCTGTACCTTGGATGGTGTTTAGAAAGGAGTGGAGGAAGTAATAGATCTGTCGAAAGATATTAGGTTTGATAACCAAATGTTCATGGGGGGTATACCAAGTGCGAGGGATTCCAGCCCACCTTCCTTCCTTGTGAGATTCCATGGGCATCTGTCTGCCCGCTGGAGGCCTCCTGTAGCATGAGCAAGCTAGTTGGAAAAGCAATATTCTCCTCGAACATACATAGGATCATGAACTCCTTGTCTATAATACCGCAAATAAAATGAATAGAGCTTGTGATTCAGGTTGTTTGTTTTTACAGAAATGGAACTGGATTTAACAGCAGTAGATCTCTCTAAGATGAAAGTGGCTGAGCTGAGGAAGATCCTGGACAGCTGGGGAGAAGTGTGCAGAGCATGCATTGAAAAAACGGACTTTGTGGATCTGATTAGAGCACTTGCACCAAAACATACAGCTGCATCTTCCAGAGCTGACCTCTGATGGAATGCCTGATCTTACTTCATGCAGTTACATCTCTAAGCATAAACCCTGAAATATTAATAGTTACAAGGAATTTGTTATAAATAAATGTTAATAGAAGTTCCTGGGCCTTGAAATACTTTTGTGGTAAAGTATAAAGAGAACTTGAGTAGATGAGAAAAGTAAGGCACAAAAGAGCTGTGATCCTACACACACTTACCTGGGAGTTGCTCTTGGCATCTGTCTGTCTGTGTAGGGTTTACTCCATAGCATTTTCTTCCCCTAAAAATGTCCTCCGTGGACTTCAGTAGGACTTACATCTGAGGATTCATAGAATAATAGAATATTAGAATTGTAGAAGTGGAAGGGACACCAAGGGTCATCTAATCCAACCCCCTACAATGCAGAAATCGTGGCTAAAGCATCCATGACAGATGGCCACCTAACCTCTGTTTAAAAATCTCCAAGGAAGGAGAGTCTACCACCACCACCCAAGGTGGTGTCGAACAGCTCTTACTGTGAGAAAGTTTTTCCAAATGTTTAGTCAGAATCTCCTTTCTTGTAACTTGAAGCCATTGCCTCGAGTCCTACCCTCCAGAGCAGGAGAAAACAAGTATACTTCCTCCTCCATGTGACAGCCATTCAGATATTTGAAGGTTGCTGTCATAGCTCCTCTCAGTCTCCTCTTTTCCAGGCTAAACATACTCAGCTCCTTCAAGCGACCCTGGCTCATCTTGGTTGCCCTCCTCTGCACGTGTTCCAGCATGTCAACATCCTTCTTAAACGGGTGCCCAGAATTGGACACAGTATTCCAGGTGTGGTCTGACCAAGGCAGAATAGAGTGGTATTATTACTTCCCTTGAGCTGGACAGTCCCTCTCTGCGTCTCCGTTCCTTTTTGGCCACCGTCAAACGAGGGCGATGGTGACTGGACTATTGATCCTCAGCTAATTAGCTGCCCAGCCCAGCTTGACATCCCCCACCAAGTGCCCCCCCCGGACCCACCTCTCTCAACCGACTCTCAACTGCCTCCCCCCCAACATTCAGACTCCCTTTTCAAGGCTCCTCCAATCTTCTCCACCAGAATTCCACTCCCCCCCCCCCCCGGCTTAACGTTCACTTTGGAATTTGAATAGAATTACCTTAGTTACAATATTACACGCAATATTGTTATAGATTGAGGGAGGATCCCACCAAACCCTAGAAATTAATAGATGGTAGGATTTGGAATTATTTGGGTTTTGAAGGGAGAAATACAAGCTGCAGAGGAATTCCTGGGCTAGCCTATGCCGAAGGACCTAGCCAAGCGAGGGCCATTAGGAAACAATTCAAGGACAAGGAGAGTTGAACTGGAAATGCCAGAGAACTGCTTCTCCCTTGCCCTGCGGTGTGAACAGAGACAGGATTTGAAAGGGCCAGGATAACTGGGTGTGAGGTGGCAGGAAAAGAGAGGTTTTGAGCAAGGGGTGCTGGGAAGAAGAAGAAGAAGAAGAAGAAGAAGGAGGAAGAGAGTCTGGAACCCAACTTGGGAAGGCTGGCTGCCCTGCTGTGGGGGACAAGTCCCTCTTGAAAGATTCTGCTGTAAGATCTGGACTCCTCCCCATGCAGACTGAAGGTGTAAACAGGTGAATAAACCATATTTCTTAAAGGTACGGCAGCCTCTGCCAAGTCTCAACCCTCCAGAGGTGAGAGCCTGGAACACCATGGGGGTTTGCCACCGCTCAGCAGAGAGAGGGGAAGCACCCAACTTTTGGAACAATATTTTATACACCCTGGTCCCTGAAAGCATCCTGTTAGAAGCACTTGAGCTTCCCATTCCTGGTTCCTAGGAAATCAGGGAACGCAAGCTGCAGGTTCCTCATCCCTGTTCTAAAAAGCAGGTGTCTTCCCCTAAACGATCCGGGGAATTGTAGTTTGTTAGAGGTTCTTGGAATTGTAGATTTGTGAGAGGGAAGCACTTTAAATCATAGGATGATAGAACTGTAGTGTTGGGAGGGACCCTGAGGGTCATCTAGTCCAACCCCCTGCAATGCAGGAATCTCAGCTAAAGCAGCCATGGCTGATGGCCATCCAACCTCTGTGGAAAAACCTCCAAGGAAGGAGAGTCTACTGCCTCCTGAGGATTCCTTCCCACTGTCAAGCAGCTCTTCCTGTCAGAACTTTTTTCCTGAAGTTGAGCCAGAATCTCCTTTCTTGTAGCTTGAAGCCATGGCTTCAGGTCCTGAGGGCCTCTGGAGAAGGAGAAAACAAGCTTCCTCCCTCCTCCCTGTGACGGCCCTTGAACTATTGACAGGGCTGCATGGTGTGGCTCTCATATCCATGTCCTGAGAGAGAGAAAGCAAAACATTTCTCCCTCTCCTTTCTCCACTCCACGCAGAATTGCAAGGGGTCAGTGCATTTGGCTGGTAAGAAGAAGGTCGGAGTTTGGAGCCCAGCCAGGGCTGACTGTGGGCAGGATCCTGGCATTCCTGGGGGGTTGGACTAGATGACCCTTGGCATCCCTTCCAACTCTACCATGCTATGATTCTATCAAGCAGCTAAAGGAACGGGCGGGGGAGCAAGATGCAGAACAAGGGGAGGCAACCACACTCCCCAACAGCCCCCTTTGGCCTGACCCATGGTGCCTCATCCCAGCATACTTTGACCTCCCTGGTTTTAGTTTTCTTCATTCAGCTGCCTGACAACCCAGCAGCCTGGCCCCTGTTTGTCATCTGATGTCACAAAGAGCCACTTTGCAAGCAAGCCTTATATTACCCTACAAGAGGGATGCCTGTCAGATGATGGTGAGATGCTTGCCAAGATACTTGCCCATCACTGATCATGAATAGGAACTGTGAAGATAGGAGGAGCATGAAGCCCTGAGTAGAAATGTATTATTATTATTATTATTATTATTATTATTATTATTATGATTACTATTATTATTACTATTAGCATCACCCATCACTGGTGCATGAGGCTTGGCTCCCTGGCTTGACTTGTTGACAGCTGTCGATAGCTTGCCGGGTCCCTGCCTCCCAGCAATGCAGCTCTGGGGACTTAGCCCCTTTTCATGCTGCAGGGGCCCCATATGGATCGTGTGTACACAGCTTTGGTTTTAAGGGAAAGGCGTCTGGCGGGCTTCATCTTGCACGGGTCAGGAGTGCAGTGAGATTTATTTTGTATTATCTGTTTGCACCATCACTGCATGTGACCCTTCAGAGGTTCTTGCCCCAAGGGGCTTACAATCTTTAATTTGACACAGGGAGGTTGAGGTCCGGGGTGTATCCTAAGTCCTCCTGTGAGACATCAGCCAGGGTTTGTGAGTTTAGACTTTGGGATTCCCGGACATTTCCCATCTGTAACCTCTTCCTCTCTTTTTGCAATAGGGTAATGAAGGCGATTCTATTAGAATTCCCAAGTGAATGTCCAGCAAGGAGGGAGGGGGAAGAGAGAGAGTGGAATTCTGGTGGAGACGGAAGGTTGGAGGAGGCTTGGAAAGGAAGAGTGAATGTTGGGGGGAGGCAGTTGAGAGTCAGTTGAGAGCGGTGGGTCCTAGAAGGGGGGGACCTGAAGCTGGGCTGGGCAGTTCTTCAGCATCAGTAGTCCAGTCATAGAATCAAGTGTGCCCATCAGTGACCATGAGAAGGAACTCTGAAGGTAGGAGGAGCTCCGAGGCCCAGAGGAGATGAGTGGCATAGAAATACTGTTGTTGTTGTTGTTGTTGTTGTTGTTGTTGTTGTTGTTGTTATGACGCTGGAAGATGAGCCCCTCAGGTCGGAAGGCGTCCAACATGCTACTGAGGAAGAGCGGAGGACAAGGACAAGTAGATTCAGAGCTGATGAAGCGGCTGGGCCAAAGCCGAAAGGACGCTCAGTTGCGGATATGCCTGGAAGCGAAAGGAAAGTCCAATGCTGTGAAGAAAAATATTGCATAGGAACCTGGAATGTAAGATCCATGTACAGTGGTAAGCTCGATGTGGTAAAAAATGAGATGGCAAGAATAAATATTGACATCAGTGAACTAAAATGGGTGGAAATAGGTGAATTCAGTTTGGATGATCATCATATCTACTACTGCGGGCAAGACTCCCATAGAAGAAATGAAGTGGCCCTCATAGTCAACAAAAGAGTGGCAAAAGCTGTACTGGGATGCAATCTCAAAAATGATAGAATGATCTCAATACGAATCCAAGGCAGACCTTTTAATATCACAGTAATCCAAGTTTATGCACCAACTACTGGTGCTGAAGAAACTGAAATTGACCAGTTCTATGAAGACTTACAACATCTTCTAGAAATGACACCAAAGAAGGATGTTCTTCTCATTATAGGGGATTGGAATGCTAAAGTAGGGAATCAAGAGATAAAAGGAACAACTGGCAAGTTTGGCCATGGAGATCAAAACGAAGCAGGGCAAAGGCTAATAGAGTTCTGTCAAGAGAACAAGCTGGTCATCACAAACACGCTTTCCTAACAACACAAGAGACGACTCTACACATGGACATCACCAGATGGGCAGCATCAAAATCAGATTGATTATATTCTCTGCAGCCAAAGATGGAGAAGCTCTATACAGTCTGCAAAAACAAGACCTGGAGCTGACTGTGGCTCAGATCATCAGCTTCTTATAGCTAAATTAAAGCTTAAACTGAAGAAAGTAGGAAAAACTACTGGGCCGGTAAGATACAATCTAAATCAAATCCCTTATGAATACACAGTGGAAGTGAGGAGCAGGTTTAAGGATTTAGATTTGGTGGACAGAGTGCCTGAAGAACTATGGATGGAGGCTCACAACATTATACAGGAGGCAGCAACGAAAACCATCCCAGTGAAAAGGAAATGCAAGAAAGCAAAATGGCTGTCCAACGAGGCCTTACAAATAGCGGGGGAGAGAAGGCAAGCAAAATGCGAGGGAGATAGTGAAAGATACAGGAAATTGAATGCAGATTTCCCAAAAATAGCAAGGAGACACAAGAAGGCCTTCTTAAACGAGCAATGCAAAGAAATAGAGGAAAACAACAGAATGGGAAGAACCAGAGATTTGTTCAAGAAAATTGGAGATGTGAAAGGAACATTTCGTACAAAGATTACCATCATAAAGGACAAAAGTGGTAAGGACCTAACAGAAGCAGAAGACATCAAGAAGAGGTGGCAAGAATACACAGAGGAATTATAGCAGAAATATATGGATGTCTCGTACACCCCAGGTAGTGTGGTTGCTGACCTTGAGCCAGACATCTTGGAAAGTGAAGTCAATAGAACTTTCTTTATGTATGCCACAACAGCAGCAAGAATACTTATTGCAAAGTATTGGAAGACACAAGATCTACCCACTCTGGAAGAATGGCAGATGAAGGTGATGGACTACATGGAACTGGCGGAAATGACTGGCAGAATCCGAGACCAGGGAGAAGAGTCAGTGGAAGAAGATTGGAAGAAATTTAAAGACTATTTACAGAAATATTGCAAAATTAATGAATGTTAGAATGATGTCAGAATGAAGTTAAGTGGTTTTAGCAGCAATGTCATAAAGGTGTATGTAAAAATGGATTGTTAATAGGTGAGAATCTAAAGCTATAATATATTAAGTTAAAGGACTAAGACAAAAACAAAGAGGGAAAGGAATTGCTGAATTAACCAATTGAACTGGAATACAAAAAAGGGAGGTGAGAGGAGGTCAGGGAAGCAAGGAAATGAAATGTAAGATACGGAAGGATTAATTTGTTTTTAAGTGGTGTTTTTTTTCTGTACTTTGTATTTTGTATGTTTTTTCTCTTTTTTATTTTTTTTCTTGTTTCTTTTCTCTTTAATTATGTAATTTTTTGTTTCTGAAATTTTAATAAATATCATTAAAAAAAAAAAAGGAAAGTGAAGTCAAATGGGCCTTAGAAAGCACTACTAATAACAAGGCCAGTGGAAGTGATGGTATTCCAGCTGAACTATTTAAAATTTTAAAAGATGATGCTGTTAAGGTGCTACACTCAATATGCCAGCAAGTTTGGAAAACTCAGCAGTAGCCAGGGGATTGGAGAAGATCAGTCTACATCCCAATCCCAAAGAAGGGCAGTGCCAAAGAATGCTCCAACTACCACACAATTGCGCTCACTTCACACGCTAGCAAGGTTATGCTTAAAATTCTACAAGGCAGGCTTAAGCAGTATGTGGACCAAGAACTCCCAGAAGTGCAAGCTGGATTTCGAAGGGGCAGAGGAACCAGAGACCAAATGGCAAACATGTGCTGGATTATGGAGAAAGCTAGAGAGTTCCAGAAAAACATCTACTTCTGCTTCATTGACTACGCAAAAGCATTTGACTGTGTCAACCACAGAAAACTATGGCAAGTTCTTAAAGAAATGGGAGTGCCTGATACCACATCTGTCTCCTGAGAAATCTCTATGTGGGACAAGAAGCTACAGATAGAACTGGATAAGGAACAACTGATTGGTTCAAAATTGGGAAAGGAGTACGACAAGGCTGTATATTGTCTCCCTGCTTATTTAACTTATACAGTGGTACCTCGGGTTACAGACGCTTCAGGTTACTCCACTAACCCAGAAATAGTACCTCAGGTTAAGAACTTTGCTCCAGGATGAGAACAGAAATTGCGTGGCGGCAGCGGGAGGCCCCATTAGCTAAAGTGGTACCTCAGGTTAAGAACAGTTTCAGGTTAAGAACGGACCTCCAGAACGAATCAAGTTCTTAACCTGAGTTACCACTGTACAGTATGCAGAATTCATCATGCAAAAGGCTGGACTGGATGAATCCCAAGCCGGAATTAAGATTGCCGGAAGAAATATCAACAACCTCAGATATGCAGATGACACAACTTTGATGGCAGAAAGTGAGGAGAAATTAAAGAACCTCTTAATGAGGGTAAAAGAGGAGAGTGCAAAATATGGTCTGAAGCTCAACATCAAAAAAACAAGATCATGGCCACTGGTCCCATCACCTCCTGGCAAATAGAAGGGGAAGAAATGGAGGCAGTGAGAGATTTTACTTTCTTGGGTTCCATGATCATTGCAGATGGTGACAGCAGTCATGGAATTAAAAGATGCCTGCTTCTTGGAAGAAAAGCAATGACAAACCTAGACAGCATCTTAAAAAGCAGAGACATCACCTTGCCGACAAAGGTCCGTATGGTTAAAGTTATGGTTTTCCCAGTAGTGATGTATGGAAGTGAGAGCTGGGCCATAAAGAAGGCTGATCGCCGAAGAATTGATGCTTTTGAATTATGGTGCTGGAGGAGACTCTGGAGAGTCCCATGGACTGCAAGAAGATCAAACCTATCCACTCTGAAGGAAATCAGCCCTGAGTGTTCACTGGAAGGACAGATCCTGAAGCTTAGGCTCCAATACTTTGGCCACCTCATGAGAAGAGAAGACTCCCTGGAAAAGAAATCCTGGGAACTGTCCTTTGTCAAAGAAAGACCTACCATTCCTGATAGCTACCATTCCCAGCACCCTGAACACACTACAGGATTGCCAGGATTCTCCATGACCGTGAAAGTGGAGTGAGAAGCCTTTCACTGTTTGGTGTGGCTGAGATAGCTGAATGTGCGTCTGAGTTGACGTTCTGTCCGTAGTGTTTGGTTACTCACAGCCCATTCTCATACGATGTCCTGCTTCCTCCACAGGGCCACGCCTCCAGGGATGAGGCGCCATCTCCAGCTCCCATCCCTTGCTGATCCCTCGCGCCTCTCCCCTCTTCCCAGTGCTGCTGACAGGGCTTCTCCCTCTTCCTCCGCAGTTCCTCGAAATCAATACTGGTGACTCTGAGGATTTATACTGGAAGACCCCCAAGTTGGAACAAACTCCTTACCCCCCAGAGAGATGCCAGCTTGGACAGCCCCCGGAGCTTCAACTACGAAGCCTCCTAGAGCGACCTCACAGACGTGTTACGTGGCAGACCGAGGAGGAGGGAAGCCCAGGCAGGGAAGCCAGAGTGGCCCAAGAGAGCCTTGTAGGGTCAGGCCAGGTTGCAGAGGATTCTGGAAAGCCTTTCCCCTCTTCCCAGCGCTGCTGACAGGGCTTTTCCCTCTTCCTGCGCAGTTCCCCAAAATGGATATCGGCTCAGACAGCTCCCTGAGCTTAGACCATGAAGCCTATAGAGCGACACCTTCTGGGACTCCGGAGACCTCAAGGAGATATGTGGTGGACAGAGGAGGAGGGAAGCCCAGGCAGGGAAGACGAAGGACAGCCTTTCTGGGTCAGTCCATGTTGCAGAGGATTCTGGGAAGTCTCTCCCTACTTCCCAGTGCTGCTAACAGGGCTTCTCCCTCTTCTTCCACAGTTCCTTGAAATGCATATTGGGTAGGGTTACCAGAGGCCCCCATTTCCCAGGGACAGTCCCCGGATTTGCGAATAAGTCCCTGGACAAATTCCATCCCTGGAATGTCCCCGGATTTCATCTCATGTCCCCGGGAAACGCAGCAGTGGAAGTCTCAGCAGCCCGGAGCAGTTGGCTCTGGCTGGCTTCAGGAGCTACTCGGAAGTCAAACAAACTCCTCACCCGCCAGAGAGACGCCAACTTGGACAACCCACTGCCCCTTATCTGTGTGGGCATGGCTCCGAATCGGCCCTGTTTGGTGCAGAAGCACCGACCAAAGTTTCCTCCAATTAAGAGTACATCTCAGCTTTTTTCTGAGCAAGAGGGGACTTTGGCTGCTGCTTCTGAGCTAGGCCGGCTGGGACAGAGCCGAGACGCCCATACGGAGGTCAAGTGGGTAAAGCTGCTAAGTTGAGGTAGGAGGAAATGCTTCCTTCCCAGGTCCCCCACCCTCCTGCCCCAGACTGGTGCTAGCTGATATCACTCTTTGCTTTGTGGCGAGAGAAAGACGCAGCCCAGACGGAGGACACCTGCCTCAGAGGTAATGGGAAAGGGGGAAGGAGCGGGGGGCGTAGGAAACACACGAGAAGGGCCTGCAGGATCAGATCAAGGGCCCATCTGGTCCAGCCTCCTCTTCTCCCAGAAGCCACAAAGATGCCTGTGGGAAAGCCGCAAGCAGGATTCGGGCCCAAGAGCCCTCTGCCCACCTGGGACTTCCTGCAACGGCTTTTCTGAAGCACTGTTTCCTCCATCAGGACCGCCCTCTCCATTCAGTCGTCTAATCCTCTTTTAAAGCCATGCAGTGAGAGATACTCTTCTGCTGCATCTCCTGGTCATCTGATTGTTCCTGCCAAAAGCTCTTGTGAGCTCAGCAGCAGGGTCTGCTTTAAGTCCATGGGGTGGGTGTGACAGCTGAATGGTCTGTCCCTGGTGTGTGAGTGGCAGCCCATTCACATGTTCAGGGATAGCCTCGAGTTCTCCCCTGCTTCAAAGATACCTTCTTTCTTCCAAGATCTCCTGTCTGCACTGCTGTGGCTGCTGCCGAAGCCTCCCATTTAAAAAGAACAGCTTGAGGAATCCCCAGCGATGCGGTCAAGGAGCTCCCCGCCAGCTGGTGGATGGGAAAGATGGTGGAAAGTGGAAGGATGAATACTCAGCTGAAGCACAGTATTCCAGTTTCTGATTTTTTAGCTGCTGGAGCATTTGAAAGCTGTGATGTGATAAATAGAGGCTTTACAAATGTGAAGAGCGAACTTTTCCCTGTTCATCCTTTGAAAATATCAGAGAATTTTTTTGGTTAAATTGAGATAAGATGAACTTTACTACTCTAAGAAATATTCAAGGGCTGCATCCACCGCTGAGGCTGCAAACGGAATTCCAAGCAGTGAAGCAGGTCCAGCGTCTTCCTATCCTTAATAGTTCTAATTTGTCACTGGGTATCTGGAAAGGCAACTATGACTGCATTGGTTTTGGCTTTTGAGGATATTCTGTAGAGCTGGAAGGGACCACAAGGATCATCTAGTCCAACCCCCTGCAATCCAGGGTGCTGGAGTGGAGGTCCAGCGAATTCCGGCTGAAGCAAAGCACTGCTGCTCCCTGTAATCATCCTGTTAGAAGAAGCACTTCAACTCCCCGTTCCTGGGAAATGGGCGGGAGCAAGCTGCAGGTTCTTCATCCCTATTCTAAAAAAACAAATGTCTCCCCCCCAGTGATCCTGGGAACTGTAGTTTTTTAGGGGCTCTGGGAATAGCTCCCATTAGCAGAGATCTGTGGAGTCCTAGGAACTCAGTCATGAGCAGGAACTAGCAAGGTAGGAGGAGCTCAGGTGCCTGGTTCTGGAGTTGGGGAGGGACCCCGTGCCTTGGAAATGGAAAACCGTTGGGTGTTGAGGGTCCCAGGATTGTGCCTTGCCTTCAGGGGGGATGCCTGGGCAGCAGCGGAGCAATCCGCATGCCCTGAGCCCAGGGGTCCCTCCCCAAGCCAGGGCAGTACGCTTTGTGGGGCCTCTGAGGAGTCTGCCTGCCTCCTCCCACTCAGCCACGCTACAGCTGAGGGGGAGGCAGCGGGTGGACCATTTGGGCACCGCGGAGCCTGCATGCAGCTAAGCCACCACTCTCCCAGGAGAGTGAGTGCCACCCGGCATTCTGTCACCCCCCTCAGTAGTGACACCCGGGTGGCCCGCCCCCACCGCACCATCCTTCCTCCGCCCCTGCTTGGGCCCAGTTCTCCTATCTGTTAAGGTCATCTTGAATCCTGATTATTTGTTCTGCGGCATTAGCTACCCCTCCCAGTTCGGTGTCCTCTGCAAAGTTGATGAGCATCCCCTCAATTCCTTCATCCAAGTCGTTTATAAAGACATTGAAGAACAACGGGCCCAGGACAGAACCCTGTGGCACTTGTCACTATTTTTCCAGGATGACGAGGAACCATTAATGAATACTCTTTGGGTTCGGTCACCCAACTAGCTACAAATCCACCTGACAGATACCTCGTTCAACCCACATTTTACCAGCTTCTCTGCAAGAATATCATAGGGGACTTTGTCAAAAGTCTTACTGAAATCAAGATACACTATGTCCTCAGCATTCTCCTCATCCACCGTATGGAATTGTGCAGCAAATGAGCATGATTTGGGGAGGTGGAGAATCCCATCTTAAAATGGTAGAACTGTCTGGCCTCAAACCCCAATAGAACCTCTCCTTTAATACGGGGACAGAAGAAAGCTATCCTTAGGCAATGTTGGCTTAGCAAGCCGTTTTACTGGGTGCTCTACTTGGCACAACAACCTATTACAGTGGTGCCTCGCAAGACGAAATTAATTCGTTCCGCAAGTCTCTTCGTCTTGCGAGTTTTTCGTCTTGCGATGCACGGTTTCCCATAGGAATGCATTGAAAATCAATCAATGCGTTCCTAGGGAAACCGCTTCAGACTCAGGTCCGGGGACAGTCTGTCCCCGGACCTCTTCTGAAGGCTGGGGGGCATGGGCTGTTCTTCCCCCCCCCAGCATTTTAAAAAACCCCGGGACAGCGGAGGACTTCTCCGCTGTCCGGGCGATCTTAAATTGCTGGCGGGCGGCATTTTAAATTGCCCCGGACAGCGGAGAAGTCCTCCGCTGTCCGGGGCAATTTAAAAGCCCCTGGGAAGGCAGGCAGGGGGACAAAGACTTTGCCCCCGCCAGCCTTCAGAAGAGGTCCTGGACCTCTTCTGAAGGCGGGCGGGGCGAAAGTCTTGCTCCCCTGCCTTCAAAGCCCTCCGGGACAGGCAGGCAGGGGAGCAAAGACTTCGCCCCCGCCCGCCTTCAGAAGGTCTTCCCTCCCCCGCCCGGCTCGGAGCACCGTTCCCGAGCCGGGCGGCGGCGGAGGTGTTCCCTCCCCCGCCCGGCTCGGAGCACCGTCCCGAGCCGGGCGGCGGGGAGGTCTTCCTCCCCCCGCCCGGCTCGGAGCACCGCTCCGGCCGGGCAGAGGCGGAGGTCTTCCCTCCCCCGCCCGGCTCGGAGCACCGTCCCGGCCGGGCGGCGGCGGCAGGTGTTCCCTCCCCCGCCCGGCTCGGAGCACCGTCCCGAGCCGGGCGGCGGTGGCAGGTGTTCCCTCCCCCCGCCCGGCTCGGAGGAGCCTTCCGAGCCCGGCGGCGGCGGGGGGAGGTGTACCCGCCCCGCCGCCAGGCTTAGGAGGAGGTCCGAGGACAGTGGGGAAGACGCGCTGCGCTTCCCCGCTGTCCCTGAGATTTCCCTATGGGCTGTTGTCTTGCGAAGCAAGCCCATAGGGAAATTCGTTTTGCGAAGCGCCTCCAAAACGGAAAACCCTTTCGTCTAGCGGGTTTTCCGTCTTGCGAGGCGTTCGTCTTGCGGGGTACCACTGTACTTGCCCCTGAAAGGCAGAGTAGCTGGGAGCTGGGACTGCGCTTTGGTTTGCTGGTGACCAGCGCCCGTTCTAAGGGCCGTGTGGCTCCCAGTCTGCCTGCCGTGCCGCAACAGTGTCTGGCAGCGGCCCAGAGGTGCTTTATGCCCCTCTGTCTCACGTGAGGAGAAGAGAAAGTGCCTTGTCCACCAACCGGGGGGGGGGGGAGAAGGAAGCCTCGAAACACTGGCTACTGTGGGGAGCAATTCAGCCATAAAGAGAGATTGTGTTGAGAGGACAAGGCTCGGTTCAGCCTCTGGTACGAGGCTAGCATCCTGGGCCATTGTCAGCCTGTAGACTGGCTGAATTTATGGTTCCTATGGAGGGATGTGGAGGGGCTTTGTGGAATTTGTGACTCCAGCAGAGAGGGGAGATTCTGTGTCTTCACAGCAACAGGCCCTCTCACAGAATAACACTTTGTTGTTGATCCCCAGAAGCTTCTTAGGGATTGCTGGTGTCGTTGTAGCTGGTGCTCAAGGGTTTGAAAGTTCACCTCTGCAGTTCCCTGCACCAGGCGAAGGGGCTTTTCAGCGGTGGCAAAAAGGAAAGGGGTTTTTCAACAGCAGCAGCTAAATTGCAGCACTCCTTGCCCTGAGAGATTTACTTTTCCATTTACTGTCTTCTGCCACCAGGTGAGGGCTTCTGTATTTGGTCTGCCTTCTGTTTGATTTATAGAAATAAAACCAGATTTCTGTTTTGTTTCTTGGTGATTTTGCTCAGTTCATTTTTTTGGACTGTTATGAGGGGTTGGATGTTTTTTGTTTTTGTATTTTCTTTGAGTGTGCTTGTTCGGATAGAAAAGCAGGATAAAAGTCCTGAAATAAATAAAATAATAAAATAAATATACACATGTACAACTTCTTTATTATTTATTACTCAAGCAGCTTACATGGTTCTCCACTGCCACTGCCACCATGTTATCCTCAGAACAAGCCTGCGAGGTAGGCCAGGCCAAGGGATAATGGCGACTAGCCCGAGCGCACCCTGTGCACTTCATGGCTGAACTGCACCACAATGGCTCACTCATTCATGACTGCACAACCCTGAACAGAAGGAAGGAGACAAGCAGCCAGAGATAAAATGCTCATCTTTGAAGCAGTCTCAGTTTCCCAAAGAAGTAGGCTGTGGAGATTTCCAAGGCTGCTGCTTATCTGGGTGCAAAATGGTTGCTTTGACTGGCTAATCCAACTCCTGGCAGGCTAATTCTTTCTTGCCACTGGCTTCTAATGTATAAAACTAGATGTTGGAGGACAAGGGTTTCAGACTTTGTACAGGCTTTAAAAAATAATCATCATGGAAGAACATATAATAATGTAATCACACGCCGATAGTTTCAAGTTGGACAGTTTAGATTGTTACCAATAATGGGCAAAGTCACTCCTGGCCCCATTGGGAATGGGCCGATCTAAAATGAAATTAATTCTGAAATAATTCATGCTTAGGTCTGCTGGTGAGAATGTGGTCCTGAGAACACCAAGGTTGCAGGTTCAGTCCCCATACTGGCCCCCTGCATAGTCTTGCACTGCAGGGGTTGGAGTAGATGACCCTCGGGGCACTGGCGTAGCCTGGGGGGCTGGGGCTCCATGGCCCAAGACACATTTTTGAGAGGAGGCGCCCCCACAACAGACTCCCCTCGGAGCCTGGCTCCAGTGTGCAAGGGAGCTGCTGAGGCAGCTTTCGTGCGCCTAGCTGGAGCTCATCTCACAGGCCTCGGGGTCCCTTTCGGCTCTCCAATTCTATGATTCTATGTTGATTTGGTCCTCTATCACACTTCTGATGCATCTCTGGGAGCATAGCAGGGCCTACAAACCTCTCACCCTCAATGCTTGTGTTATGTACTGAGCTAGGATCCTAGAACAATAGGCAGGTAGGATCCTTGAACGCAACAACTGATTGGCCTGCAGGAACAGCCCATTCAGGCCCCAGGTGGAAGTTAATCAGTCTATTAGGTCGGGAGAATCAAAGAATGCAAGCGGACTCAGCCAATCGCACGGGACCCATTGTGTACATAATGTATATAAAGCCTGAGGTTCGTGGGGGGGGGGGGATTTTCACTGTTTTACGAGCTGCAATAAAGAGCATGAACTCACTATGTGACTGAGTATATTTCAGCTTGCGTAAAAAGAAGCAGCCCACCACTTCCTTTCCCAAGCTTACCTTGATGAGGAGAAGGGGAGACTGAGAGAGGGAGGGAGTCCCGGACGCTGCTGCAAGAATGTGCCATTCTGCCCGACGTCAATCCCACAGCCTGCGGTTGATCCCAGCTCTCCTCACCAGCGCCTTGCCTGGGTACACTGGGTGGCAAAGGGGGTGTTGATGGTGGGAGAGAGCACCAAGTTTGGAGAAGCCCCTGAGGAGAAGCCACAGAGCACCCAGGGGAGAAATTAGGTTTATTCCTGAAATGTCCACCTCTCTCAGGAAGAGAAACAATGCAAGTTCACTTGCCAAAGCTTAAAATAGACCACAATTAAGCCGTGCTTCATGAAAAGGTTACAGGGAGTCAAAAGAGAGAGGATTTAAAAATAATTTGTTTGAGATCAGGAAGGCATGTGGAAATGAGACAGCTGTTAGAATCGTTTTGGGGCAAGGGGACAGCAATTCCAGCTTGTGATCAGGCAGGCGGAGGAACCAGATGAGGAGCTGCAGGTGCCCCTTCAGGCTGGCTGCCGGTCGGTTCTGAGAAGATAATAAAATCTGCAGAATGGAACTCAATCAAATGAGAGCAAAGTCAATACAGGAAGCTGTGAGGGTGCCAAACGGCAAAAGAGGGGTGATTAATGGTGTTATAAACTTCCAGAATACATTATGCATGTAGGGCTCATGAGGTGTTATTTTTTAAAAAGCAGCACAACTTTGTCCTCCTAATAGTTATGACACATCTGGAAGGAGAGCTTGCCAACTGCATGACCTCCTGTACAAGGAGACACAAGCAGGTGATTTAGATATGACAAACGGGCACCATCAACTGAACAAGGTTTTAGAACTCATCTGGTTTTCGCATGAAAGGTAAATCCAGATTAAATGGTGGAGAGGGGGAACAGGCCGGCGTTTTGATGCCAGCAGTGTCATGTGGATGCTGCAAAAACTTGTGGGCATGAGACGCACCAAACCCACAATAAATGCCTGTCTCTGGAAGCACTGAGAACCCCCCAAGTGGGACAGAGCATTGGGACCTGACTTATATGGATAGATGATAGGAAGTGAGGAAGTACGAGTACTCAAAGCACATCACACACATTGCTGTCATGTCAGCAGCTGTGCTAATATTACATTCCTTATATCACCCTGTGGCTGAGAGAAAGCTGGGAACTCATGGCAGAGCTGATATCTAAGGCAGGGATTTCACCAGCTCAGCTCTTCACCTCTTCACAACTTCACTTTTGCTCTGAAGTTGAAATTCTAAAGGATATGGGGCAACCTGGAGATAGCTAAGCTCTCTATGGGTTGCCCACAAATCCCTGAAATTAATGGTATGACAGCAATTCTTTATTGCAGTCCAAAGACCCACCAGGAAATTAAGGGTACTTTGTGCCCCATTTTTATATGACGTTAACACTGAGCTTCTGCCCAGGCACTGGATGGGCTCCCATGTTCCAACAGCAATGCTGTGGGGTCAGGTGCTCCCAGATTCCTTTTAGCCCCAAGGAGTTCAAGGGCCCCTTTGCACCCTGGATGACACTCACTGGTCATTTTCATGCAATGGAAACAGCTACTAGCATTCACGGATTACATGGCGCCTGGAGCTGGTGTATTTTGTTTCCCTCGGGGAAATGTTAAAAATAAATTAATGATGGAGTGTGGAACATCCCCTCCAGCCTCCCCATCCTGCAAACTCCAACTTGAGCTGGTTTAAGCCAGGTAGGACTTATGTTTCTCCATCATGACTCCCCCCACTGTAGGAATGTTCTGCTAGGCTGCAGCCCTATATCTATTTACCTGGGAGTAAGAACCAACCTCCGGGTAGCCACGTATAGGATTGCATGGCTAATTTTAGAATGGATTGGGATAAACCACTGAAGGCACGGGCTGATATTTCCAGTAGAGCCAAGTTTCCTGCTTGGACAAAAGAGGCAGGAACTGAACAGGGGAAGCAACCCTAAAGGATATAAAACTGAATTGCTGGTGCAAAGCAGAAGCCAGGAAAGGGCTGAATCAACTGACAGGATAGGCCTGCATTTCTTCTCAACACAAGAGCGCTCAGTCCAGGTGCAGAAGGCCCAGGAGCAAGCATCTTCCTCCCATTGTCCTCATTAGCCATCTGGGGTGCAGTGAGACTGGAAGGGGGGTTTGCCTGCTGTGCTCGGCTGGTAGGAGACGGAGGGAGAGGAAGATCGGATTTGACCGACAATTCAGCCTGCACAAAAGGGGCAGCTATAAGCTAGTTGCACCTTTCTTGTTGGATGTCACCATGAGTTGCAGTCTAGTCCAAATGAAAGGGTGATTGAGTCCATTCTAAGCCCCCTGTTCTTAGCCTTTCCCAAGCTGGACTCCTCCTGGTGTTTGACTGCAACTTTCATCAGCTGCAGCTAGCATGACCATATTGGCAAGGGCTGATGGAAGCTGTAGTCCTAAACATTTGGAGGGCACCAACTTGGGGAAGGCTGCTCATCAGATGTTTTGGTGTAAAAATGACGAGGGGAGTGAGGTTGTCTTCACATGAGAAAAGTCACATTCTGAAAACATACGTGGCCTCTTGGCAATCTCTTGTATTTTGATGTGGTGGGCATTATCTTAATGTGTATTGCAAAATATGTGAAGATGTGCTTTGAGGCAGTCTTAGTATAGAATTTGTGTTTGTATTCATTCATTCATTCATTTAATTTATATACCGCCCTATATCCAGAGGTCTTAGGCAGTTCACAGAAAAGATCACATCAGATCAACCAAAAGCCTGGGTGAAAAGGAGTGTTTTTGCCTGTTGCCCAAAGGTGCATAATGAAGGTGCCAGGCAAACTTTCCTGGGGAGAGCATTCCACAGACGGGGAACCACTGCAGAGAAGGTCCATTCTCGTGTTGCCACCCTCCGGACCTCTCGAGGAGGAGGCACATGAAGAAGGGCCTCAGAAGATGATCTCAGGGTCCGGGTAGGTTCATATGGAAAGAGGTATTGCTGTCCTGAGCCATTTAAGGCTTTATAGGTCAAAACCAGCACTTTGAATTGGGCCCAGAAATGAATTGGTAGCCAATGCAGTCGGATCAGGATAGGTGTAATATGCTCAAACCGTTTTGGCCACTGAATTCTGCACCAGCAGAAGTTTCGAACCGTCTTCAGAAGCAGCCCTACATAGAACACACTGCAGTAATCTAACCTTGAAGTTACCAGAGCATGGACAACAGTAGTTAGGCTATCCCTGTCCAGATAGGGTCATAGCTGGGCCACCAGCCAAAGTTGATGGAAGGCATGACCCAGAGAAAGGCGTATTTTGGGGTTCCGTAATCTCTCATGGGTCATGTGATTCATGTGGGAGCATGGATTGGAAGATGCGGGACTCAGCATGTTGGAGGGTATGCATGAGAGAAAAGGGAAGCAAGCAAATGAGCCAAATCCACCTCCTCTTCTGGCTAACTTCTCCACTGCCGCCCTTCACCCGCCCTCTAGCGTTGTGGACTTTACCCAGCCCAACCCATTCCCAGTCTTGGGCAGAGCTGGACTTGCATTCATTATGGGCAGATAACAAGGGCAGAGCACTGTTTTTACTTAAAGATTTAGAAAGGCAACAAGTTGAAGAATTTTTGTGAAAATTATTTTAGCAAAAGGCTAATTTCCAGTGTCAGTAGTTATCCATAAGAGCCAACGGTGGCTGAGAGATGCTTTGTTGTGTCTGCAGTAGCTCACCCTGGCCATGTTGCCCCCAAGGAGGGGCAAGGAGCGTGAGGAGGTCTGTAAGCCATTAGTTTCAGTTTCGAGACTGTAACTCTAGAACAGGACCATTTGCTAGAAAGAGAATAGTTTTGTCTACTGTGCATATCCAAATATGATATCACAGGGTAAGATTACATTTTAATACTCTGTCCTTCCTCGAGCTAATCTGATATGATGGCAAACCGCAGCATCCCAAACCTATGCTGTAACTGTAATCTTATAGCAACCAAAATTATGATTTAAAGCTCACCGTAACACACTTGTAGGATTTAATGATGGATACAGCCTATTTATTATCTATTCCCATAGAACGGTGCACACTTGGTTTGGGATGTCTTTCCGCAGTTCTGAATGGTAAATTAATTCCCATGGCTCATTAGAGTTACTTTCACATATCACAAAAAAGCGTGGCTGAAAATTGGTTTAACATGAGCCCCATCTGTGCTGCATAAAAGACGAGGGGTGTCTCCCACTCCTCATTAGGCAAGTTCATAAACATGGATGCATACAGACTACCATCGTCCATTAAAATAGTAAGCAACCATCATATGCAAATAGGAATATTTCTTATATTGAATCTGCTCATTTTTCCATCTAGCCTTTTCATCTACTGGGAGTTGCTGTGCTACAGAGCTATGATACCATCCTAAGCAGAAAAAGGAGACCAGCAGAAGCAAATGCAACTTGTCGTCTACAGAGTTAACCCAGAGAGGCTGGAATAGTGTTGTTGTTGTTGTTTAAATTGAATATTGTGGATCTTACTGCAACTGATAGCACAAGCTACTAGTGGTGAAGCAATAAAACTGTTGGTGCATTTTCAAAACTAAACAGGGTCTGGTATGGTTTCAAATTTGATTTCAAATTGGATGCGGGAACCGCATGCTAAGATTCCTACACTGCAAGGGGTTGGACTGCTCCTGCTAACGTAGCAGTTCGAAAGCACACCAGTGGAAGTAGATAAATAGGTACCGCTCCGGCGGGAAGGTAAACGGCGTTTCCGTGCGCTGCTCTGGTTCACCAGAAGTGGCTTAGTCATGCTGGCCACATGACCCGGAAGCTGTACGCCGGCTCCCTCGGCCAATAAAGTGAGATGAGCGCCGCAACCCCAGAGTCGGTCACGACTGGACCTAATGGTGAGGGGTCCCTTTACCTGTGGAATAAACACTCCACAAGTTTCCTAAACGATTACTGGCTGCTGAACCATTGCAATTACAGAATTTAAAGTGAGGTTTGACGGAGGTTTGATCTCTCCACCACTTTTAATTCATCTCTGAGATGTGGAGGGGAGGAAAAAGGACGACGACGAAGAAGGATATTCCCCATACCCATGCATCCACCCACCCCAGCACATGGAAGGGAGAGGTCTTCTTCATTCACAATACCAGCCAATACCAGTGTTTATCTGGTGTAAACAAGACTGCAGCTCCTTTGCCGCTTTCTGGACTGCCAGGCAGTGGAGTGGCAGGGGGGCAGCAGAGGAGGGGGAGGTGGATGCTTCAGTCGAGATCCCTGCGTTTCAGGGGGCTGGGTCCCTTGCAACTCTCCCTTCCTTAGGCTTAACAGCAAAACTAGCAGCTGACAGCAACAAACATGCACACTTTCGAGTTTGCTTGGAGGGCAGCCTTTCCTTCCACTTCCCCTCTCCAGGATTTCCAACTGCTCTCTCCCTCTTGTAAATAAGATGGGGAACCTTGCTTCAGAAGACTCTCACCCTTGCAAAACCAGACAGGGGATCCCATCTTTGGGAAAGGGAAGGAGGAGGGTCACTCACTTTTAGGAACGGGCAGGGCTGGACATGCAAGCCAACTACATTCTCTTCTTTCTCCTCTTCACGCCCACTCAGTCACTCACCCACAGAGCAGAGAGCCACTCTGTCTGAAGCCCAGGCAGTACAATGGCAGGTAGGCTAGGCGCCTCAAAGACCTGGAGGCGTCACCCGGGGCAAAAGTCCCGGCTAACCCTCCCTCCTCCCCGTACAATACTGACAAACTGCCATTTTTGTAACCTGGCCTTTACTTCCTCACAGCTCAAAGAGGGTATAATGAAATAAGCATCCGTCAAAACATGAGCCACAAGTGACTGACAGAAGCTTGGACTAAATAGCAGTCTGTGTTGCAGGAAGTCCTGGCACCAGGGTTTCATGGCCACCTGTGGCCTTGCGCTTTCACAAATGGAAGCAGCTTCCTAGACACAAGCCATGTACAGTCATACCTCATGTTACGTTTGCTTCAGGTTGAGCGTTTTCAGGTTGTGTTCTGCGGTGACCCGGAAGTACCGCAGATGCGCAAAATGATGTCACGCGCATGCGCAGAAGCGGCGAATCGTGACCCACGCAGGTGCGTGTTGCGTTCTGCTCATGATGCGAATGGGCCTCCAGAACGGATTCCATTCGCATCCAGAGGTACCACTGTATCTATTTGGACAGACTGTTTAAATCAAATCCCCCCATCCCAAGTTCCTAAGAGAAATCCATGGCAAACGCCAGTCCTTTCTTCTTGGTTGAGATCTCTGAAATCCAATCCCCAATCAAAACTGCAGCAGACTCACAGCACAATCCTGCACATGCTTACTCCAAGAGTAGTCCAACTGATGGTGAAGCTCACACACAGGCGCATGGATTGCAGCCTAAAATCATTGCTGCCCCTCTGCAGTTCCGAAGGACTTACAAGGGAGAGGGGAGGGGGGAATGCCAGGATGCGACACCTTGAAGGTGACCTGAACACAGGAGGTCACTTGAAACCTCAGCTGTTATATGAGCTCTGATTCCCACCCAGAGTCAGATTCTAGTCTCATTTACAGTGATATAACACTGTTGGACCCTATTTACGTATGTGCATCTATACGTCTATGTCTACAGTGCTGATCAAGGAGTCAAAGAGTATGTCAATACACCCAACTTCCTTGATGATGTTTTATTTAATGACATTTAGGAAACATGGGCTGTGAATTTTCTTTCCACTGCAGCCAAAACACAAAAAATAATTTTAATAGCAATATACTCAAGTCATAATTGCAGCATTTATTTCATATATTATTCCCGTGACAGCACTAAGATTGCAACATAGCCTTGTTTATCCAGTCAATGAACAGATTTTTTCATCACTTCATACAAAATGATTTCATAACATGCAACACATGGCCAGGTAACGCAGATCAATGATAGTCACCACACCATCTGTTAAGACTTAGTCTCCATTTAATCATACTCAAAGGCTGAACCCACATATAGCTTGGAAAAGAGGATCCAGATTTTGGTTTGCCCAACAGGACATTTTTCTTTGTTTATTTTACAAGAAGGCAGTGATACAAGTGCCAATGAAAGGTTGTTATATTCTCTGAAAGAGCAGGCAACATTCCTGATGCATTTTCTTTGACAGTAAGTCAAAATGTTCACTGTTGCCTTGGCAGTCAAGTATGATTTGAATGCTGTATTTTATCTTCTTTTAATGCTTCATATTAGCTGCATGATTCCTCTTATGGATGAATAATTGTGCCCTCTTGGTTAAATAATTCCCTACACACAGAGACATCAATGGGGCAGGGATGGGAAATCTTGCAAGGCAGTGTTGTCATGGCACACATTCGGTGCTGTTAGACATTGTGGGAGGCTCAGTCATCTGCCCTCAAGGAGGAGGAGGAGGAGGAGGAGACCCATCAGATCACTACTCCTGCTTTGGCGCAACTATTTCATGTTGTTCCTTTACACTTTAAAGTATAAATTTGTTAATGGAACTACTAGATTTTATGAATGCTGTGAGCTTTCTTATCTTTGGGCAAAGCAACAGGCCAGGGCAGTCAGCCTTGCGAGCTGGAAGCCAGAGACTTCGGAGAAAGAGAAAAGTACATCAGAAGTAGAAGGCCACAGCTAGCGGACGTGTCGAGGTGCAGCTTCATTTAAAGTTACCTGTTGCCATGATATTGCTTCTGCAGATTGGAGCAGGTTTGTAGGAACCAATGAAAATGCACACATGGGCTGATGGCACTGTGTTTATGTGAAGCATTGTAGAGAAACCATAGAAATGTGAGCCTCATCCCTTAGGATGGTGCACAGACTTTGGGTGTTAACCTGTGCCTTTCTGTTTGAAATAAACCTTTCACTCCCTTTCCGCCCCTGGTAGTGATTTATTGGCTTTGGGTTCACCCCAGGAACCTTTGCCCCCACTTCACAAGAGCAGGGTCTGTATAAGGTCTGGAGGGTGAGTTGATAAAAAAGAATCACCAGTCTACATGGGGCGTAGAGAGAGATGTCCCAAAGGCTCTTCTGTGCACTGGCAGTCATGGGACGGGAGGAATCTTTTGATATAACTGAGGTAGAAGAGCGAACCCAATCGTCTCCCTCTTGACATAAGATTAAAATCAAACTCTGCATTTTAATAATGGATGGGCTAGCAGGGGTTTGGAAAACACATTTTTATCTTCATTAGTGACAGACAAAGATTTTAATGTTGGGCCTTTGCTAATAATCATCTGAGTTGCGTAACCAGAACCGCTTATGCTATTGTTATGATGTCACCGATACACACGTTGATACTATTATAGCTGGGCAGATCAGGCTACATTATCTTTTTTTGCCGCTTCGGCCAAGTAACTTGAGGCCACAGCACTATTGACTTAGCACTACCTCACCAGGAAGCATCTGTTCGGCCTTGGACTGTAACTGTAGCTTGCTGTGGAGATGCTTCTTTTGTAAGAGCTTTTTGTTTAGCTGCTGACAACGAGAATCTGCCGCAAAACATTTCCTTGCACCTTCGCCTCTTCTGCCCAGTCCGAGGGCACAGGGCATTCATCATCTGCCTCCATTAGATCCCTGAGGAATGGTTCTCCAGCCCACCATCTCCACGGCCATGGAATATTCTGGACTTCAGATATTGGGAGAACCACGGTAAGAAGACTACCTGCTGTCATCTTTTGGTTCCCCCCTCTTCAGGATGTGATAATTCCACAGTATGAATGCCAGCCCCAAACGTGGGATAAGCAGCAGCATCCTGGTATTCACGATGCATCCGTTTCCTTGCTCCGCTTTGCTCACCTGCTTTGGAAGTGTGAGGGAAAACACTCCTTTCGACCAGCCTGAGCCCAACTGCCTGGCCGTCGCGGAAGTACAAAAAGTTGCAACCGACTCCGCTGTAAGTGGGCAACCAGCTGCAGAAGCCCCCCACCCCGAGGATTCTCAGGGCCACAAGGCTGGAGAAGGAATCTCCCCCCACAGACATGGCACAGAAAAAAACAGCAGCCTAAGAGCAAAGAGCAATTCAAGCAACCATGTGGCTGCCCAGCCCGTGCCTGGGGCTCCTGATGCATCTGCACTGCCTGCAGAAGGGATGGGCTGCGATGCAGTCACTGTCCGAACACAGATACCCCGACCATCCATCATCGGAGTGCCAAAGGTGAGTGCGAGCGGTGGTCTCCTTGGCCTCTTTAGTAGGGCAAAGTGCATCGTACCACAAAATAAGTCCATCGCTCGTATTGATCAGAAGGCAGGTGAGGCAAGAATAAGGATAGATTTTTGTAAATAGCAGAATATGACAGCCCTTGCTTCCCTGAGCTGTGAAGGAACCCTTAAGGGATGGATGTAAATAAGTCCAAGCCTCTTGAGTGACTTATTTTTAAAACTGATATCTCACCATTCCACCCAAAAAGAAGCCCTGGGAAGCACAGAAAATCAACAATAAAAATGCAGTCAATTGTTTTCATCTCAGGAAATAGGGCCACTGTATCTGCCCCAGGAACCACAACCTTCTTTATTAAGATGTCCCTCTTTTTTCGGTTACAGGTTTTCCAGCTAAATCAGTTATGGTAAAGCCATGGAATATTTACATTTAAATGAACCATGAACTAGCTTTTTGAGAACCTAGAACAGGAATTACCCCACCACCCCTATCAGAGGGTAGCCTGACAACACAAGAAACAAAAAGAATCAAGTGGCGTTTTAAGGGTTTCTTAAAAACAGAATGGAAATGAAAACTGTTTTCTGTTTGACATTTCAAATCTGTGAATCCATATCCCTAGACAAATACAGTACAACATCCCTTCTTACAGTGCACATTGGGTTGACACACATAGAAATCATGAGATTTCTCCTCATTTCATTATGTAAGTATCTCCAGATAACTCACACTTGACTGTGTGAACTACAGCTACTTACCAAACAATAGTTGTGGTTTTGTGAATGGGTGCAATGAAAATTCTGTCTGAGTAGCTGGTCTGTGCTGGTTCATTTACATACTGTATGTCCAGATCCTTCCTTGATCATGCGCTCATCAAGAGATGAACACAAATGAGGGACCCCTCTTAGACTACTCAGCTCCTGTGATTTTCCCCAGTTCAGCGCATGTTCCCCATGAGGTTCCATGTCAGTGCTGCACTATGTAACTTTTGTTGCCTGCGTGTATTGGTGCATGTATCCTGGGCCTTTTGGAGAAATGAAATGCTACCAGACCTACACAAACTCTTGACACCCACCATTTCATCTCAAAGAAACATTGCCAAAAAACATGAGTGATCCAGCTCTCAAGGCCTACAGAACCTTGTCAGTTTTATCTTTATAAGAAGCACTTTATAATTATTTTGGCAGGTGTGTTATATGGGGTGATAAATCCAGGCACTGCAATAGGAAGAAGTGAGGATTAATGGTGAAGAAATGTGTTTAAAAGTTAGGGCAGCAGCCAGAGGTCCCAATTCCTGTCTGGGCAAAGCAAACAAGATCACTTCATCTTCCCTGTGGTTCTATTTCCTGGACTCTATAAATCCATCATGATGCTTCCCTAACGCCCACAGAAATTTACCAATTGAAATGGAATGTAACACAATCACATGACGTCTGATGTGCAAAGAGCAGCCTCAAGAGCATCTCCTGATACTGTGATGGGCCAGATTAAGAGGCTGCTATCAACAGTATCAATAGCTCCCCTCACCTTTATAGAGAATCCTTGCAGTGGGTACCTGAAGATGACCCCAAACATCTGGGTGCCTGAAGTGAAGGTCAAGATTTCTTCCCCATCTCCACCTGCCCTGTTTCACATACAGAAGCAGGTTGGACAGGGAGTTTCCAGCAGCCATTAATCATCTAGTTCCTGCCAAAGAGAGCAGTTTAACCATCTTGAGTAGCCTGGCAAAGAGCAATATCTGGAGGTGGCGTGGGGAAGAGTGGCTTTGATTGCTTTGGGGGCCACTTTCAGACTGGGATTCTCTCTCTTTGGAAGCTGCTGTGCTACATCCTGGCAGGGAGGTCAGCGCAGTGAAGTGGCTTAAAATCAATCGGCTCTTGTTAATTTAGAATAACATGTCCAACTATGACCAGATTTTGCATTCTCTTCCATAGCCAGATGTGCAGCCTTGCAACCAATGATCGCAGCCTCGTAACCGTGCTGCTAGGAGGCAACGATAGCTTAGCACTAACGTTGTGCTGGGTCCTCAAGGGACCACCATTATCCAAAGACAATCCATCCTGATCTTTCCCCACTCCTCACAGCATGTGCCTGTCAATTATAATGCTATCCCAATAGGACCTCATCCTACATTTCATCTAAAAGGGGAATAAAATTCAAATGTGAAAGGATAATGAACTAATTAACCACGTCTTCCAGCTGACCCACCCCAGAGGGACATGTTCTGAAATATTTAGGAGCATAATGAAGATGAATGAATTTAGGATTTGCCCAATTATTTTTTCTAGCTAAATTAGTATCAGACAGAGTCCATCTGTCGTGGATGTCATCCACTCTAAATCTGATGCAAATTGTAATTTAAAAACCCCTTCAATT